TGCCTTTAGAAACCCCCACTCTCAGTGAACAGAGCCAAGCACTCATCTGATCTATGACCTCAACATAACCAGTTTAGGCTGTATATTTGGGTTAATGCAACTTCTCCTCTCTTACAGTTATGCTTAATTTGTTGTTTACAGTGAGGAGCTGAAAATGAAACTGTTTCAAAATGTTTGCCTATAAGTCAAAATTCTCCCTGCAAGCTCTGTGGCTACCTTACATTTGTCTCCCAACATTAAATATCACCCTCAAACCCTCTGAAGGGACTGCTTCCTACCATAAAGAAAATGGTCAAACTATAAACTCATCGATCATACCTATTTCATGGAATGGTAATAGTTTGGTTCCATACTGATGCTTTAATTTGGGGAGATGGGTCTCAGATGAAATCCAAAGAAATAATTGGCCTATCTCAAGAAAGGGTTTAAACATTTCTCCTCTTGAATTCTACAGTCATCGGATAGTTTCAGTCATCACAGAATCAGCTGGGAGGCTGACAAGCCACAGGGCAGTCAGATAATGGAGTGGAGAATGTGTCACTTCCTGGGTCACTTAACTGGGTCAACACGGAATCACTCATATAAGTTAATCCACAGTGTTGTTCCCCAATGACCCAACCGTGGTCCGGGGAATGTAAGGTAACCTGAGAAGCTGCTTTTAGTAGCCATGAGAGCTGTTACCCGGGAAAGAACCTCAGCTTGGGTAACTTGGAGAGAAGTCAGCAGAAGGAAAAGCAGATATTAGAGCTGAGCTTCCAAAGGAACAAAGCAAACTGGACAGTTACAATGGCTTTGAGCACACTAGGCAAGAGTTATCTCACTGACACTTTGGTGAGGATAATTTAATTTGATGTCATAACTTTTCACATATTATATCTATATCTATCATAACTTCAGTCGGAGAATAATGGCTAAAGATTTGGCTCAGTGGTCAAGGCCTTTCTTAGCAGTTGAGAGGCCATTGTTTGATCTCTAATATTCATTTAAAATAGTTATAATTTTATTATTCCTTAAACTCATACTCAGATTAGACTCTCTAGATGATTAGATGCACAGTAAGCCAGGGAAATTGCATTTACTTTTGATGGAAATCAAGTGACAAAATCTAAGAACATGTCTTTAATACCAGTATACCTGAAGCTGAGGTAGGAGCCTCACCTTGAGTTCAAGGCCAGTTTCTGAGCTATACTGTAAAAACCCTGCCTTAAAAATAAATAAATAAACTACAGTGGAGAGAAGGAGCACATCCAGGCAAGTACTCTGCCTTTTAGAGATTCTTTTAAGCTTATCATTTATATGATTTTATTATATTCTTATTTCTCAGCGGCACCAGGATATATACTCTCAACTACCTGGAACTCTGTCTCTTTTAATTGATCAACATTTCCCAATTCACAGAATAAAGGGGGAAATTCTGTCTAACCAAATACTACTCAAGACAATGTAAACCTCTGATGAATTCAGTACATCACTAAATTTTTACATGGATGTAATATCCCTTACTAGCACAATGGGAACTGTGAACGGCCAAGGCAAATGCCTACAATTACTAGGCAATCACCCAATGTAATGGAGATGTCTAAGCTCATAAATGATTTTCTTATTGAAAGTGTCATGTTTGCATTAAATGCTTCCTGTGCTTTTATCAAAGTGGTTGCCTTGTACCTAAGGCACATAAGCTGAGCTGAGGCTCTAGCACCATCTGCAGGTCAAGTCTGCTAATTTCACCTCGATGTAGAAACTACTGGAGATTACAATAGATTTAAACTGAAGAATGACAGGTATGGCCCTTTCTCCTTCTCCCTCTCCTTCTCCTCCCCCCTTTTCTCTTCCATCTTCTCCTCCTCTATCCTCCCCTCCCACTGTAAAGACATGTAGTTTGCTCTTATTATTTTTTTAAACTTCAGTGGGGGTTTAAGGAATACTATGCAAAACAGGAGGCCAGCCTAAACTGTGAGACTCTTCCCCCCAAACAGCAAAAACACAACAGCAAACAAAAGCCTACCTCAGTCTTGCAGCAGAACTCTTCGTATTTAGCAGAGAGGCACAGCAGCTGTGGCCCCCGATGCTTTGGACCACCATGGAAATGGGAGGAATGGAGTTTCAGGTGTGGTCTTTTAACTTAACACCGATGCACTCATCTTTATACCAACATGGCTATAATACATGATTTTGTTTATTTGGGAGGCTGGGGGTTAGAACTTCAACCCTTCTGAGTGATAATTATGTACCCTTCCTTTGAGCACCATGTCCAGGTTTATTAAGTATTGTCCACAAATTTTATCTTGATTAACTCACACATTGCTGATTTGGTGCTTTTAAATAGTAAATACTTAAACTTGGCAACAAACCATACTTATCAAATATAGAAGTCGCTGCAAAATATAAAACCAAATACATACATCTATCGGTCACTGATGCTCTAGCTTGTCTCACTGGTACACATTAACAATAATATTATTAATAACAAGAGTAAGATCCATATGTTAGGCTTTCTGTTTTCCTTTTTAGTACTAACTATTGAACCCAGAGCTTCAGGCATGTTAGACCTGTAGAGATATTTAATCCAGCTACATGGCTGCTCTGATCTCATAAAGACCTTCTAAGTCTGTGTGATCTGGCTGAAATGCAGGCATACCCTTGGGACACACCTTTAATCCCAAACAACTACTTTTTTTCTTTTTTCTTTTTTCTTTTTTCTTTTTTTTTTTTTTTTTTGGTTTTTCGAGACAGGGTTTCTCTGTATAGCCTTGGTTGTCCTGGAACTCACTCTGTAGACCAGGCTGGCCTCGAACTCAGAAATCCGCCTGCCTCTGCCTCCCAAGTGCTGGGATTAAAGGCGTGCGCCACCACCGCCCGGCATAACTACTTCTAATTGAGACGCAAAGTGATGAATCAGAGAAAGATTTGAGAGAATGAGTCAGGGATAGAATATGCCCAGCTTTCTCAGGAGAAAAGCTATTTAGGAGCAGTGCAGGGAGAGAGAGATCACTTATTGGTCAGTTAGAGTTGGGAGTCCGTGCAGGGAGTGCAGTGGAGTTGAGTTCCTGTGTCAGTTCATGCAGTTCAGTGCAGGTCAGCAGAGGCAGTTGAAACCAGAGAATTACAAGGAGCCAGAACAAATGGCTAGAGTAAGTTTGAGGCCAACCAGAGCAATTTAGTGAGAAACTGAGAGAAGCCAGATTGAATCAGTCAGTTTGAAAAGGAGTTTGAGCCCAGACAGCTGGAGTTGAACCAGTCAGACAAAATTCAGAAAGAACTAGAAAGAATAAGCTTATTCAGCAGTAATCAAATAAAAGATAGATTCATATAGACCAGTGCTCCCTACCGAACTATACTCTATCTAGTACCATGCTTGACCTTTGTTCAACTGCTGTGTGCCGCTCACTGTAAGAATTGTCCACTGTAAAAATGTAATAACCTCATTTTAATTTTGAAATCACCCAGTAGCCTTCTGAAATAAGTATGTCCATCATTATTTTGCAAATGAATGGATCCAAGAATAGAGGAAGGTAAAGGTTCCTTCACAAGTCCACATGCTTGAGATGAGGTAGAGCTAGGATTTGAAGCTGAATTGTATCCAAGGTGTGTCTGTCACAGGCCTTACCTGGGTGTGTCCTCTAGTGGGTCTCCTGCCCTCTTCTGGCACTGTGCTCTTAGTAATACCTCTCCAGGTGTGAAAATGTATCTGCATCTGTTCCCATGTACCATCTCCAACTCTCAGTGTTCTTCTCAAAAAAAAAATACTTTATTAACTATACATCTTTTTGTTTGTTTTGCATAGCCCAGTCTAGTTTGCCGTGCCCATGTATGCGTGGATCTGGAACCATTCACTGGAGCATGAGACGTCTACCAGTATTTATATCCTCAGAAAGGAATGATTGTCTAGCAACTATCTACTGCCAATAGCTACTCATGGGTAGGGCAAGAAACCATCAATGCAATTCATGCTGGAACTATGGTTGACTTGTTCTTTCGTAGCCTGTGTGCAGCAACTTCAGTTGCTGTGTGTTTACAATTGTGATACCAATGTCACATCCAAAAGTCAGTATTTCATACTCGGTCCCTACCCTACGGCTTCTATGTTCTTCCCACAACCTCTTCCTTGGTATCCCCTAAACCAAGGTATTATTTTTTTCACTGATACCTATACCAGGGTGCTGGGATAGTTGACTCACAGAAAGTTTGTAATACATGCTTCAGAGTAGCCTACTGTGTTTGAGACTTGGTGCTGGAGTTTGAAGATTCCCAAGGACTGCAGCAGCAACAGCAAAGCTTTTAGAGAACTTCTCCACCTTCTTAATGCTGCTGTCATTTAATTCAGTTACTCTTGTTGTAGTGACCCCCAACCATAAAATTATTTTATTGCTACTTTGTAAATGTAATTTAATGACTGGCAACTTAAATGATTCATAATTTTAATTAATATTAATATAAATACGCAATATGCCAGATATCAGATATGCAACCCTGTGAAAGGGTCTTACTCACAGTTTAAGAAGTACTGTTCTAGAAAGGATTAGGTTGGTGATCTAGGTTGGAATCTTCAGTATCAACCTTTCAGACCTTTTACAGCTACTTTCCCAACCTCTAGGTCTCCATTTCCATTTCCTGTTCTTAAGAAAACCCTGACAATCTATACTTACGCATTAAGCATTGTGTATCTAGGAAACATTAAGTACCATGTCATTTTGACTGACAGACATAGTCTGATACAGACATAATTACAACTGCAACTGATAAAACCACAATCTTACAAATATCAACATATTTGTATCAGGAGTATGAATTTAATATCAAGTATTGAACCATACTTCAAAGTCAAATTCAAATTACTTGTAGCTTTTATTTTGTTTTTCTTTGATATTAACAGCTTAGATCATTCTACATTTTCTTAGTTTATTTGGTCTTTATAATACTTTAAGCAATATTCAAATAAGCTTCAAAAATTCTCTTCAACTGTTTCTGAATAAAATTGCATTTCTAATGATAGGGGCTTGTAAATAGTACACGTTCCTCAACGATGTTTCATCTGTAATAGAAAGAGAAAGTCATGTTCCAATAAGCACTAGAAATTCTTCTTATTATCTGTTTATTTTCCCTTCCCCTGGCATGGCACACAAAGCCCTTCAGTTCTGTCAACTTGAAAGTCAAATTTACTATACTCTGCACTATTTTTATAAAATAGATCCAAGTGAGGGTAAATAAATCCACTTGTATCTGGAGCATGTATATCAACGTGATGCACACTGAGAAAGTATAACATTAATATGCTCAATGTCCAATAAAACCGACTTTTATATCTTTTGGGAAGAACTACATATTCAGAATAGTTCACACATTTCTCTCAGCCTCATTTCCCAATCGTTTCTTCCCTCATCACGCCTCAGTCCTATTCTCAACGCAACACACAAGAGCAGATTTGGAGAGAGCTTGCTCAGATCTGACCAGCTAAGCACTGAGCAACTTGACATCCTGAATTTCACACCATGATTCTGTTATGTCCCTACTGTTCTCAGGGTGTGGCCATATTTTTCCTGGATGAACAACAATGCAGGGAGAAAAACATACAGAAATTGACTTTGTACCTGAAACAGATTGATCCAGTTTCAAACTTCAAGAAGAATTTTTTGTAACATTTTAAGCATTATACCGTTTCAATATATTTAGATCTCCATGATGTTTGAGATATTTTGTTTTATTTTGACATAGTGTCTCAAGTCACTACATAGCTAAAGTTGAACTTTAACCCCAGATCCTCAGCCCTCAAGTCTCGAGTGTTGGACCTTGGGCCTTTTGAAGTACTGAGTAATATATGGTGGCTTTTATATTAAAACTCATAGAGTAAGACATTTTTGAAGGGACTTCTTGCATGTGCACACATACGTCTACTTGTATGATCACCACTATACACCTCCAATATGTATAGAACTCAAAACCAAACAACATGTCACTAGTCTGGAATTTGAGCAGCGACTGAGCTGGCATAGTGCAAGCTTTTATACAGAAGCTTTGGAATAAATGCATTACAACAGTTGCCTTATCGGTCAAAGTGAGAGCATGTCTCCTACAGCAAGAAATCTCTTCCCCTGCTTCTTTGGTTTCTAAAACACGAAGAATCCTCAATTCTGGTGATAGGCATATTTCTTTTCCTAGAAATGGATTTTAATAGACAACAAATATAGCAAGAGGATTTGGGGGGGATTATGAGAACAGACTTGATTTTTTGTGATACATAGCCATTACAATTACATAGGGCTAGACTTTAATCACTGAGATAGCGGCTCATTAATTTAAAGTGGTGTGTATGTTAAGAGAGATATGGCTGTCGTTTGACCAAAGCATAAGTTAATTGTGTCCTATGTCATACTGTGGATTAGCTGTCCTCTGGTTTCTTGGAATCCTGAATCCCACTGTATGGTGGGGCTGATACATTGCACTCCTTTACATGGACATAAGACATTTGTGTGAGTGTAAAACTTTCTGGATTTGGAAACCAGAATATTGAAACCGTGTATACTCTGTTTTGGAAATAAGATATCAAGGGTAGTAAGTTACCAGGTAGAAAATACACAGGGAAGCCTACATCTATTATTTGTACTATCAATTACCTGTATCTTCTTTTCACATTTGACTCCAGAGTATCCAGTACGGCAAGAGCATACACCAGGAAATGCACATCTTCCTCCATAAAGACACTTCGGAGTACAAATGGCTGCAACAAGCCGATTTTTATAGTCATCATGCCTTATAATAGAATACTATAATACACTGTGTTTCACTCTCCTGAAGCTATTTTGTGATTGGAACCTTTACTGTGATTCTCAATGGTCATTACTTCAAATGATATGTATCTCAATATCGACCTGCACATCATCATCAGTAAAAATGCTGGTAATAAAATAATTACTTATAAATATGTAAAATGCTCATAAGGGGAAGGGAAAGTTCATAGCATTAAATATACTGTTCAATGTCATTACAGAAATTATTGTAATACTTGAAATAATGTTTTAACAGGGATTGGAGAGATGGCTTGGTGGTTAAGAGCACTAACTGCTCTTCTAGAGGTCCTGAGTTCAATTCCCAGCAACCACACGGTAACTCATAACCCTCTGTAATAGGAGCCGATGCGAGTGTGTCAGTGACAGTGTACTCATATATATAAAGTAAATAAATCTTTAAAAAGTATCTATCAATAAAGGCCATTTAAAAATAAACATTTAAAAAAAAATAAAAATAAATAAACATTTTAAGGACAGGTAGTATGTTTTTCAATAGTATGAGTAAAACTAAACATAACAAAAATTATATATATAGTTACTTTTCATGGGAGTTGCAAAATGTAATTGTGAAAGTTTACATAATTCAAGAATTGACAAGCTGTTTTCATCCCAGTTGCTCTGTGTGGTTGGGGAGGAATGTAACACTGAAGGGTTACACTAACAAAGTTCCATCTTCTAGCTATAGCTTTGAATGGGCATTACCACTGTTTCCCAGAAGATGGCAGTAACATTTATGTTCAGTTAGAACTGTCAATACATTTCCATTCACATAAAGGTCCTGCAGTGTAGAGAATCCACAGTCCCAGCTTCATGCTGTGCTTAAAAATATCAGTCTACACTTATAATAGAAGCTACTACGTTCATGGAAGACCAAGGGGAGCAGAGAGAGGACAAGAGAGGGCAATGGAAATGAATACGATTAGCAGACATTATACACATGTATGAAAATGTCACAATGAAACCCATTATTTGTATGATTAATATGCTGTTCTAAAACTTTAAACAGAAATAAGAGAAATGGGAAATAATCAAATAAATTCTTACTTCTTTCAAATGGATATAAAATTGGCCAACATTTATTTTTAGTTCTAAATTTTTATTTTTATTTTGTATATGTGACAAGTAGCTTTAAATGTCAATTTGACACAGCCTAGGACCACCTGGGAAGAAAGTCAAAATAAAAGTTTGCTTAGATGAGGTTGGCCTATGGACATTTCTATGGGGAATTATCTTGCTTATGTCTTAAATAATATGGGAATGCCCAATCTGAAAATGAATGGCACCATTTCTAGGTTTAGGGCCCAAGAGCATGTAAGAGTGAAAAGAAAGCTATCCAAGCACTGGAGCACTGACTTCTCTCTCTTCTCTCTTCTCATCTCTGTGGATGTGATGTGACTAGTTGCTTTAAGCTCCTGTCACCATGACCTCCCTGCAGCAATACAATGTAACTTGTAATTGTAAGCTAAAATAAATGCTTTCTGCCTTAAGCTGCTTTTTTGTCAGAATATTTTATCAGAGTGATACAATAGAATTAGGATAGTATGGGAAGGGGGCACACTCATGCTGTGGCACATATGTGGAAGTCAGAATACAGTATGTGGGATCCGTTCTCTCCAGACTTCGTAAGAAACCAAGTCCACTGAGCCATCTACAAAGAGATCAGTAATCTAAAATTTTGTCTCTACTGTGGCCTTCTCCATAAGCTACAGATTAATTTTTCCAATGGGTTCATTTGCAGAAGATGAGGTAGAGGATGCTACTTACGTTTCTCACACTGCACCCCTTCCCAGGTGGAGGGACAATGACACATGCTGGGAGCTATGCATTCACCCCCATTTTTACATGTCTGAAGGCAGATTGCTGAAAATACAAAGGTAAAGAAATTATAAATTTAAACTACTAGTCAAATTATAATATAAACTACAAAAAGTCTCCAATTTTTTAAAAAGAAAAGTTTACAAGTCAAGAATTCAAAGATCTTTCCTCAGCCAGGAGTGATGGAACATGCCCATAACTCTACCACTTTGGAGTCTAAGGGCGTAATAAATATACAAGAAGTCTACAGAACTTCAAATAGACTGGACAAGAAAAGAAATTCCTCCTTTCACATAATAATCAAAACACCAAATGAACAAAACAAAGAAATAATATTAAAAGCACTAAGGGAAAAAGGTCAAGTAACATAAAACGGCAGACCTGTCAGAATCACACCAGACTTCTCAGCAGAGACTATAAAAGCCAGAAGATCCTGGGAAGATGTCATACAGACCCCATGAGAACAAAAATGCCAGCCCAGGCTACTAAACCAGCAAAACTCTCAATTACCATAGATGGGTAAACCAAGATATTCCATGACAAAACCAAATTTACACAATATCTTTCCTCAAATACAGCTCTACAAAGGATAATCGATGGAAAACTCCAACACAAGGAGGGAAACTACAACCTAGAAAAAGCAAGAAATTAATCTTCTTTCAACAAACCCATGAGAGGATAGCCACACAAACATAATTCCACCTCTAACAACAAAAATAACAGAAAGCAACAATCACTTTTCTTTTATATCTGTTAACATTAGTGGACTCAATTCTCATAAAAAGACATTGACTAACAGACTAGATACATAGACAGGACCCAGCATTTTGCTGCCTACAGGAAACACACCTCAGTGACTAATACAGACACTACCTCAGAGTAAAGGGATAGAAAACAATTTTCCAATTAAAATGGTCCCAAGAAACAAGCTGGAGTAGCCATTCTAATATTGAATAAAATTGACTTTGAACCAAAAGTTATCAAAAAAGATAAGGAAGGACAGTTCATACTTGTCAAAGTAAAAATTTACCAATATGAACTCTCCACTCTGAACATCTATGCTCCAAATGCAAGGGCACCCACATACATAAAAGAGACTTTACTAAAGCTCAAAGCACACATTGCACCTCACACAATAATAGTGGGAGACTTCAATACCCCACTGTCATCAATGGACAGATCATGGAAACAGAAACTAAACAGAGACACAGTGAAACTAAGAAAAGTTATGAACCAAATGGATTTAACAGATATCTATAGAACATTTCATCCTAAAACAAGAATACACCTTCTTCTCAGGACCTCATGGTACCTTCTCCAAAACTGACAACAGATACAAGAAGATTGAAATAACCCCTTGCATCCTATCAGATCCACACAGAATAAGGCTGGTCTTCAATAACAAGAAAAGCAATAGAAAGCCCACATACATGTGGAAACTGAACAACACTCTTCTCAATAATGACTTGGTCAAGGAAGAAATAAAGAAAGAAATTAAAGACTTATTAGAATTTAATGAAAATAAAGGCATGTCACACCAAAACTTATGGGACATAATGAAAGCAGTGCTAAGAGGAAAGCTCATTTCAGAATTCTATCAGACCTTCAAAGAAGACCTAATATCAATTCTATTTAAACTGTTCCTCAAAATAGAAACAGAAGGAACACTACCTAATTCATTCGATGAAGCTACAATTATGCTTATACCTAAATCACACAAAGACCCAACAAAAAAAAGAGAACTTCAGGATAATTTCCCTTATGAAAATTGATACAAAAAATACTTGATAAAATTCTCAAAAACCAAATCTAAGACCATATCAAAACAATCATTCACCACCATCAAATAGGCTTCATCCCAGGGATGCAGGGACGGTTCAATATAGCTAAATCCATCAATGTAATCCACTACATAAACAAACTCAAAGGAAAAAAAAAACCACATGATCATTTCATTAGATACTAAAAAAGCATTTGACAAAATTCAATATCAATTCATGTTAAAAGTCTTGGAAAGATCAGGAATTCAAGGCCCCTACCTAAACACAGTAAAAGCAATATGCAGCAAGTCAGTAGCCAATATCAAACTAAATGGAGAGAAACTTGAAGGAAGTCCATTAAAATCAGGGACTAGACAAGGATGCCCACTCTCTATCTATTCAATACAGTACTTGAAGTTCTAAGTAGAGCAATTAGACAACAAAAGGAGGTCAAAGGATTCAAATGGAAAGGAAGAAGTCAAAATATCACTATTTGCAGATGATATGGTAGTATACTTAAGGGACCCCAAAAGTTCCACCAGAGAGAACTCCTAAACCTGATAAACAACTTCAGCAAAATGGCTGCAAATAACATTAACTCAGACAAATCAGTAGCTTTCATATACTCAAAGGATAAACAGCTGAGAAAGAAATTAGGGAAATAATACCCTTCACAATAGTCACAAACAATATAAAATATCTTGGTGTGACTGTAACACACAGCAAGTGAAAGATCAGGGACTAGACAAGGATGCCCACTCTTTCTCTATCTATTCAATACAGTACTGGAAGTTCTAGCTAGAGCAATTAGACAACAAAAGGAGGTCAAAGGCATACAAATTGGAAAGGAAGAAGTCAAAGCAACAATTTCAAATCTCTGAAGAAAGAAATAGATGATCTCAGAAGATGGAAACATCAACTATGTTCATGAATTGGCAAGACTAATATAGAAAAAAATGATTATGTTGCCAAAATCCATCTACAGATTCAATACAATCCCCATCAAAATTCCCACTCAATTCTTCAGAGTTAGAAAGAACAATTCTCAAATTCATTTGGAATAACAAAAAAAAAAAAAACCATGATAGCAAAAACTATTCTCAACAATAAAAGAACTTCTCGGGGGGAATCACCATCCCTGACCTCAAACTGTACTACAGAGCAATAGTGATAAAAACTGCATGGTACTGGTACAGAGACAGGCAGGAAGATCAATGGAATAGAATTGAAGACCCAGAAATGAACCCACACACCTATAGTCACTTGATCTTTGACAAAGGAGCTAAAATCATCCAGTGGAAAAAAAAAGACAGCATTTTCAACAAATGGTGCTGGTTCAACTGGAGGTCAGCAAGTAGAAGAATGCAAATTGATCCATTCTTATCTCCTCATACAAATCTCAAGTCCAAGTGGATCAAGGATCCCCACATAAAACCAGATAACACTGAAACTAATAGAGGAGAAAGTGGGGGAAATCCTCAAACACATGGGCAATAGGGAAAATTTCTTAAACAGAACACCAATGGCTCATGCTTTAAGATCAACTATTGACAAATGGTACCTCATAAAAGTGAAAAGCTTCTGTAAGGCAAAGGACACTTTCAATAGGATAATATAGCAAACCCATAGATTGGGAAAAGATCTTTACCAATCCTATATCTGATACAGGGCTAATATCCAATATATACAAAGAACTCAAGAAGTTACACTCCAGAGAATCAAATACTCATTTTCAAACACGGGGTACAGAGCTAAACAAAAAATTCTCAACTGAGGAATACTGAATGACAGAGAAGCACCTAAAGAAATGTTCAACACCCTTAGTCATTAGGGAAATGCAAATCAAAACAGCCCTGAGATTCCACCTCATACCAGTCAGAATGGCTAATATAAAAAACTCAGATGACAGAAAATTCCGGCCAGGATGTGGACAAAAAAAAATCTGGTGGGATTGCAAGCTGTTACAATCATTCTGGAAATCAGTGTGACAGTACCTCAGAAAATTGGACATAGTATTACCTGAGCATCCAGCTATACCACTCCTGGGCATATACCCAAAAGATTCTCCAACATATAACAAGGACACATGTTCCACTATGTTCATAGAAGCCTTATATATAATAGCCAGAAGCTGGAAATAATTCAGTTGTCCTTCAACAGAGGAATGGATACAGGAAATGTGGTACATTTATACAAGGGAGTACTACTCATCTATTAAAAATAATGAATTCATGAAATTCACAGGCAAATGGATGGAGCTAGAAAATATTCTGAGTGATGTAACTCAATCACTAAAGAACACACATGGTATGCCTTCACTGATAAATAGATATTAGCCTAAAAGCTCACAATATCCAAGATACAATTCACAGACCACAGGAACCTCAAGAAGAAGGAAGTTCGAAGTATGGGTGCTTCTGTCCTTCTTAGAAAAAGTAACAAAATATTCATGGGAGCAAATGTGGAGACAAAGTGTGGAGCAGAGACTGAAGGAAAGAACATCTAAAGACTGCCCCACCTGGGGATTCATCCCTTTATACAGTCACAAAACACAGACACTACTGTGGATGCCAAGAAGTGCATGCTGACAGGAACCTGATATAGCTGTCCTCTGAGATGTTCTGTCAGAGCTTGACAAATTCAGAGGCAAGTGCTCACAGCCAACCATTGGACTGAGAAAGGGGTCCCCATTGGGGTCCCCAATGGAGGAGTTAGAGAAAGAACTAAAGAAGCTGAAGTGGTTTGCAACCCTATAGGAACAACAATAGTATCAACCATCCAGACCCCTGCCTCCAGCTCCCAGGGACTAAACCACCAACCAAAAAGTACACATGCAGGAACCCATGGCTCAAGCCACGTACATAGCAGAGGATGGCCTTGTCAGGGATCAATAATAGGAGAGGTCCTTGGTCCTATGAAGGCTGGATGCCCCAGTGTAGGGGAATTCGAGGGCAGAGAGGAGGGAGTGAGTAGGTGAGTGGAGGAGCACTCTCATAGGAGCAGGGGAGGGGGGTATAGGATAGGGGGTTGAGGGGAACAGGGAAAGGGGATAACATTTGAAAAGCAATTAAAGAAAATATCCAATAAAATAAAAAGAAATGTTTTCTTTTTTTTAAAAAAAATGAAAATGAAAAACTAGAAAATACTGGATACTGTCTTCAGCTGACTCTTTCACTATTTCAAAGTGATACCTCCCAGAGCAGGAATAAAAAAGAAAAAATAAAAACAAACAGATAAAAGCAGAAAGACTTTGTCTAAATTCTGTTGTACGCTGCCCTCATGAAGGTCTGCATTGACACTATGAGAGTCTTCTTTGTTTTACTTACGTGTGTTACACCGTTTCCCACTCCAACCAGAAGCACAGGAACAAATATTCGGTCCCACACATTTTCCACCATTCATGCACAAAGGCTCACAAATGCCTTAGGTTAAAAAAAACAAAACCAACAAAAAAAAAACACATCAAAGAACAAAGATTCAGTTTTACCCATGATATGCAAATATTTTAGTGGTATCTTACTTGTCTGGCATCTCTTTCCGGTGTACCCACCACGACAGGTGCACACATTATTTCTCATGCAGAGGCCGCCATTTTTACAGGGAGGGTGACAGACAGCTAAAAGAACACATGGCAGCAATGCGTGAACAGTATATATTGAATTATTATATATTGTACATTGCTTCATAGGCTTGTTATCTACAGAGCCATAAGATAGAGAAATGTGCTATAAAAATAAAAGATCACAACTGCAAGCCATTGCAACTGTCCTTCCTAAATAATAAAATGCAGAACTCAGAGCCATCGGCTGCCAGGAGGTTACCATCATTAAAACACCTTAGTGCTGGAGTCTTCAATGGAATCCTGAGTGCCTTGTGAAACGTAACTTATACTTCATCGGCGTGGAAAGCCAACTGTCAAATGATCTGAAGAGAATTAAGAAAGTGAACTGACGCTCAGCTCAAAGTTAGGTTATATTTCCTCCTGTGCAAACTAGAAAGACCCTTAACCATTTGTTACACTACTTTGTAAAATTAGTAGGAAACACTTTAAGCAGACTTTAACCTAATCATATCACAATGCAACTTTATATGACTGGTTCCCCTGAAAGCTGAGTAAAAATCTTTTAAACAATAAAATAAAATTCCTTTGTTGGGAATATTTGTTAGCTGTTTAATGAAACTTTCCTCATATTGACCAAACAGGGGAAGTCAGATTAGGAAACAAACCTGAATGTCATTTCTCTGAGATGATTATTATTGCTTCATGTCTCTCCCAAACACTAAAATTTAATGTTACTTGATTTTCTACGCAGTGTTGAGAATCAAGCCAGAGTTCTGCATATGCTAAGCAAGTGCTCTGACACCCAACTATACTATAGACCATGAATATTGAATTTTCGTGTGTGGTTTACTATTTTTTTGTTTAATTTAAATTTAATTCTCTTTTATTGATAGATTGTTATGTGGATTTTAGTTTGTTTTAAAAATTAATGTGTTTTAGTAAAAGAGCTATTCAGTTTGGATCAGATCCCCTTAATAACTGCTTTCTTAATTTCCATTCCCTTTAAAGAACACAATTGATTTTAAGAAGATTAATAAATGAAATAGCATTTTTCAATACAAAATATGCTGCATGTATTATGAATGGTAATTATGTTCTCCCAAAACTATTTGCACGAGAGGGTGTCCATATAGCTTCTGGGAACCTGCTACAGTTGGTTCTGACTGGTAAATAAAGATGCCAGCAGCCAATAGCTGGGCACGCAGTCAGAGGTGGGATTTTAGTATTTTCCAGGCTTCTAACACGGAGGAAGAGATCCTCCATGCTTTAGGAGAGAGGGGAGAGAGGGAAACAGAGAGCTCACCATGGGGTAGAGAAGCAAGGAGAGCACCCTGGGCTCTGGGCCAAGAAAATGTGGCCCAAATGGTTGACTAAGAGAAGCCAAGAGGGAACACAGAATTATTAAGTGTTAACTCAGAACTGTAGGTTGGAGGTAGACTCTAGCAACACAGAGGCTAGACAGCCACCCAGCAATTGTGCTGCTTAAGATATATTGATATATAAAGACTGTGTGACTCTCTCTCTCTCTCTCTCTCTGTGTGTGTGTGTGTGTCTTTCATTCAGGAACATCAACCATTGAGGTGGGTATGGACCCCACCGCTGAGATTTATTAATTAATAATTAATTCAGCAAGTAGATAGTTTGTACTGCTTTAGGTTAAACCTCTGCAGGTACATACTGAGTCTGTGTGTGTGTGTATGTGTGTGTGTGTGTGTGTGTGTGTGTGTGTGTGATGCAGATCAAAGAAGATAAATTTTAGGAGACAGATCTCTCCTACTCCTGTGTAGATTCTGCAGACTGAACTCTGCTTTGAGGCTTCATAGCAAGAGTCTGTACCTAGTGACACATCTCCTTAGCTCTACAGATAATTTTTTTCTAAATATGTATCCAATATATGTTTTTAATCATGGAAATGAAAATTACAAGCTGTGCAATGCATCTGTGGTGGTTTGAATAAGAATGGCTTCCATAGGTTCCTTTATTTGAATGCTTAGTCGCCAGGGAATGGGACTTTGAAGGATTAGAAGAAATAGAAGTTGTGGCTGGGTTGGAGGAAGTGTGTCACTGGGGGTAGGGGTGGGGGTGGAGATGAGCTTTAAGCTTCTAAAGCTCATGCCAGGTACAGTCACCCTTCCTCCTTCCCTCCCTCCCTTCCTCCCTCCCTCTCTCCCTCCCTCCCTTCCTCCCTCTCTCTCTGTCTCTCTCTTTTTCTCCTTCCCTCCCCTTCCCTCCCCCTCCCCCCTCCCCCTGTCTCTTGCATGCATGCAAGCTCTTGCTCTGGGTTTTCTTTTCTTTTCTTTTTTTTTTTTTTTGAGACAAGATTTCTCTTCATAGCCTTGGCTATCCTAAAACTCATTGTGGAGAGCAGGTTGGCCTTGAACTCACAGATCTGCCCGCCTCTGCCTCCTGAGTGCTGAGAGTAAAGCTATGCACCACCACCAGGTGGCTCTCTCTCTCTTTTAATTTTACAGGTCTTTGGCATATATGTTATTGTTTCCATTTTATTGCTGTTTCTTTTTTAAAAAAATTTTTGTTGTTTTTAATTCGATTTCTCTGTGTGTAAGCGAATTTGTTTTTCTGCATTTATATGTTTCTTGTGCTTTTTCTTTAGCTCGTTTCCTTCTGCATCCTCACTTGTTTTGTCCTATTCAGATTTGTGTTTATTTTATTATAATTTCTAGATCCCTGGTTTATTTACTAATGAGAAAGAAAAGACAGAGTGTCATTTTAGGTGAGAAGTGAAGTGGGGAGAATCATGAAGGAGTTAGGGAAGAGGAAATTAAAACCAGAATATAGTGCATAAAAATAATATTTTCAATAAAAAATAAAATAAAATTGTATCACATAACTGCTAATTTTAGAAATTTAATTATGAAGATGTTCAAACATGTTCTAAAACTATGTTTGGTATAATTCTAAAAATAAAGATACAGGAAGTGTTTTGTGCATTTAAATGACTGAGAATAGTTCCTATTTCCTGCCAATATGCTCATGCCTGAGATATTACTATTAATATGAAAAAAAGAAAAAGAAAAAAAAGAAAAAATGTCTATAGTTTTAACTGCATGGGAAAATGTATTAAAACATGGTGCAGAAAAGAAAATGATCCTGGGTTGGAGAGATGGCTCACATGTGTACCCCAACTGACCACTCAGACCCACACAGAAACAGACTCACACAGTAACTCTCCCTCTCCCTCTCCTCTCTCTCTCTCTCTCTCTCTCTCTCTCTCTCTCTCTCTCCCTCTCCTTCTCCCATTCCCTCCCTCTCCCTCTCTCTCTGTCTTTCTCTTTGACTCTCTCCCTGCCCTCTGCCTCCAGTTCTCACCACTTTTAATGCTTCACCCTCTGACCCTGGCTCCCTGTCCCTTTGACTTTTAGCTACACTCTCCAGATCTTATTTTGGATACAACACACTCCCTATTGCTTCATCGACTAGCCTTGATCTCCACTTTCCACATCTCCCACAGCCCCAACAGTATGCTGCTGCCTCTCACCCTCCCTCCTGGCCCTGCCTATATGGTACCACCAAGTTCCTATGCCTCTTCTTTACTAAGTTCTCTAAGTTCAATTTCCAGAAACCACATGGTGGCTCACAACCATCTGTGCCCGGGATCAGATGCTCTCTTCTGGTGTGTTAGCAACAGCATACTCATATACATAAAGTAAATAAATAAATCTTAAATGATAAAAATAAATAAAACAAAGAAAAGAGAAAGAAACAAATATGTCATTTTGCCATTTTGCATAGAGTCATACATAGATGAATTTGACAAATGTTTAATGAATCTAAAATCAAAAGTGGTCACCAGAGAACAGTAGATATTAGATAAAATATATGTCAAAATTATTGGATTGAAACCAATGGAAACAGTACCATGAATTATGAACTGTACTAGAAGGATATGCATTTGTTTTACATCTTGGCTTGACAAAACTTCCCAGATCATGCCCAGGTTGTTAACCTAACATATGTTGAATAATTGACAATTCTGATACATCTGTACTAGCTGGTTTACATGGCCATATCTACGTAATAATAAGAAACAGAGAGGGAACATAGTCTCTCTTTTTCCATCTGAAGTTTGACCTATGTTTCTGAAGCGCTCACTTTTCCATCTTTGTATTCCTAGTTTTCCACTTGCCTTTTGTACTTACGCACACGGAATGCTTACCATTCTGGCACTGTGTACCAAAGAATCCACCAGGGCAAAGGCACGTGTTTGGCTTATAACAGGAACCACCGTTGAGGCAAGTGGGATCGCATAGAGCTAATGAACACCAGGAGAGAAAGAGATCACAAGCACTGTTATTTTAAGACTGCATATGACACAGCTGGACAGAAGGAAGCATGATAGTATATTTTAACTACAAGTAAAAAGAACCAATAATGTTCTGGATTTTACCAAATAAACGGAAGAAAAATAACTTTGCAATTGCTTATAAGTGGTGTTTGTTTGTTTGTTTGTTTTGTTTTGTTTTGGCTAATGATGTTAGCAATAAAACTAAGACTGTAGAGTAACTGTGATTAAAATCTAGAATGCTTTTTGGTAAGGATTGTAGGCTAAGAAAGGCCAATTCAACTCAACAGCTCCAGTATATAAAGATGTGGCTATGCACACATCTTTATCCCTTTGCAAATGAAACAGGGGCACATCACTCAAGCCCTTCTGTGTTCTCCTGGCTGATGCTTGGTCACCTATGTTCTGCTCTGAGAGCACTCTTAATTCTTCTTTCAGCTTAGATTTTATCCAGTATCCAAGGCGTACAGATGCAGTTTTCTTCCCAACTCCACTTGCTGGTATTAATGTTTTCATTTGTAATATGTAGTTTGCTTATATTTCCTACTGTGAACCAACTTGCTTCACAGTCATATTTTAAAAAACGTAAGTGCCTCTCTTGTCTCTTTCAATAATGATCTGAGACTTGATATGAGGGCAAGAATCATCTTGCCTTTGTTTTCCTCTGCCACAGGCTTCACACATAGCCAGCACATTATAAATGGTGGGTTAGATTTTTTGTTGAGAAAAGTCACTAGATAGGGATTACAGATGAAATTATTGAGTTAGAGTTTAAAGTGGATATTGAAGTTGTGATAAATAGGGAAAGTATTGTGCCTTCTAAGCAGAGGAGGATAGATACTACATGGGACAGTAAGTTAGAGTAAACGGGCCAACTGCAGACTTTCTGCTAAGGAAGCACATCTGATACTGATTAATAAATGGATTTACGTGATGGCTGGCCCTGACATCTAGAATTGAACAATGTTAAGTAAAGTAGGATGTCTATGTCCTGGTTAGAAAAGGAGACAGAAACTTAAATGGAGAAATTGCAACAAACACAGGTTTCTGTGTCCATGCCATGTAACACATACCATAGAAACACAACAGCAAGAAGGTACTGCTTAGGTAACGTAATATGTAAGGTTCAAGATAACCGAAAAATGTGAGGATGAAAGGTACGAATTTTAAAATATGTTATACATAACCACCTCCTATCTTGCCTGTCAGCTCAGTTTTGTTTCTTAGATGTGACTCTTTGGGACATTTAAAGTTTCTTTTTATTGATACTTTTATTGTACATAATTCTGATTTTACCTGTACTACAGGTGGGTCCATACCAGCCAGACTTGCACTGGCAAATATCTGGTGCAACACATTCACCTCCATTTTCACAATGTCTGTTACAGACCACTAAGATCACAGAACAAGGACAAAAGAAAGACAAATTTAGCTTGTAACTGTCAAAATACTTTTAGTAATTGAATTTGGCCATAAAGAAAGACCAGGATAATTCACTCATATGAACTCAGGCTCTTGTGTTCAGCTATTTTGTTTCTGATAGAGATGGAGAAATTAGAAAACTATTAGCACCAAACAAGAATTAGTTATTTGGGAAAATTATTAGTAACTGATGAACATAATCAGAGATAAATTAAATAATATAAACTCAAAAGCAAATCAATAAGTCTAATTTCCACTTATTTCAAAGAAAGAGATGTTACTATTCATAGCAAACCTCTTTATTTTTTTCTTAAGACATGGTTTCACTATGTATAACTCAGACTACCCCTCAACTCATGACTGTCAGCCTCCTAAATACCAGGATTACAGCCACACTCATCTAAACATCTTCACCTCCATTCTGGCCCCTGGCCCTTTAGTGCATCAATATTATTTATGGATGGGCTTGTTTTATTTAGCACCAAAGCCATCAACTCACCAAAGAAGATGCTTATTATAGCAGATTGTAACAGAGATTTACTTACATGTTTCACACCTTGGTCCTACAAAGCCATAAGCACAAGTGCATCGATTGCCAGACAAGCACTTGCCCCCATGTTGGCAAGGAGGGCTACAATGTTCTGCAGACACAGATAGTAGTAAGTCAGATTTCAGTAGTCAGTATGCACACATGTCTAAAGCTTGCCTGCAAGAAAGCTCCATTATAAGAACAATTTAGGCTAGACTCAGTTCCCTTTACTGTGTAGTGTCTCTTCTGTGGGGACCCACCGTGTGAATTTACAGTTCCGAAGCTTAGTAATCAGCACCATGTTTTGGGTTATTCATGAAAATTTCAAAACACAATGCTGATGTGTGAATGATTTATGAAGACCTTGATTAATTGGATAAAAATACCTGACCTTCAGCTTCTAAAGTGTGAACTTGGACTTACGAATTCCTGTTCAAACATAGATTTATATATTCCATAGTTATTTTCATTTGCTAGATTTATATATTCCATAGTTAGTCTCATTTGCTATTAATTTTGAAGACTTCTACTAGTTCCAAAATTGTTTTGTGCCTTTGTAGTTTTCTTTGTGATTAAAGCATTTACCAGGGTTCTAAGATCATTCAGAATTATATGCATCACCTACTAGAATTCAGTCTCAAAAACTGTTCTAAAAATAGCAAATTAATTTTTAAAAAGCACCTCCTTTTATCAATTCTATTCTGTAGATTCCCTACTTAATAATTCATCCTAAACCACGCAGGATGTATACAACTACAGATGTATTTTTAGGGTCATCTTTTAGATTTCTTCTTACTGCCTTAGAGCCTTGAGATTTGCATTTAATACACAAGTCATTTAAATAAGTATTTTCTTCAAATGCCTAAATCTCAAAAAGCAAAGATTTTGGAAGAGAAACAATTACTCTTTGGATCTATAACTTCTGAAGTATGAGTGTTTAAAAGTCTAAAGTTAGAGGCTGGAGAGATGGCTCAATGATTAAGAGACACTGACTGCTTTCCAGATAAACCAGAACCAGGCTCCAGATACTCCACTGTACCCATGGCAGTTCACAACCTTCTGTAAATGTCTACCCAAGGAATACAACACTTGTTCTGGAGATGTTGTATACACATGGCATCCAGACATACATCCAGATAAAATATTTGTACAGTTAATAATTTTTTCAAATTAAAAACAAAAATCCCCCTAAAAAGAATTAGTATGAATATTTTTAAAATTGTGAGCTTTATCTGAGCACTGAGTATTCATTAACAAAAACACTGCAAGACAACTATCTTTCAAATAAATATTTCCAAGAAAATAACACTGTGTTTAATTCTGTATTTGAGACTGTAGTTGGAATTCTCACCTTCATCGCAGGTTGCTCCACCATGCCCCGGAGGACATTCACAGATGTTAGGCTTAATGCATTTCCCATGCTTTTTGCAAACAGGGTGACAGATGGCTACATAAAAATAAAACCCATGGCTTAGAAACATTGATTATAAAATAAAATTTATTATACAAACTAATGAATCAGGTACCTACCAGTTTGGCAGTTGGAACCAGTATAACCTGGTTTACATTTGCATATGTTTGGGGCAACACATTCCCTGTTTCTTCCACAGGAGTGTCTACAAAATGCTGCAAAAAAAGGAAGAACTTGTAGCGTGTGTGTGTGTGTGTGTGTGTGTGTGTGTGTGTGTGTGGTGTGATGTGTGTTACCTGTCGATTTAAAGAGTCTCTCTCTTTCTCGGTCCTGTCTCTGTCTTTGTCTCTTTCTTTCTTCAAGACAAGGTTTCTATTTTTTCACATGTTTATTTTTTTATTGGATATTTTATTTACATTTCAGATGTTATCCCCTTTCCCCATTCCCACCCACCCAACCAGAAACCCCCTATCCTATCCCCTCTCCTCCTGCTTCTATGAGGATGTGTCCCCCCACCCTCCCCCACTCCTACCTCCTCACCCTCGAATTCCCCCATACTAGGTGTCCAGCCTTCATGAGACCAAGGATCTCTTCTCCCACCTATGCCCGACAAGGTCATCCTCCCCTACATATACAGCTGGAGCCATGGGTCCCTCCCTATGTGCTCCCAGGCTGGGAACTTGGATCAGGTTGGGGTGTGCATCATCACAGCCCAGTCAAAATTACTTTTCTTTTTCCTCTCTCTCTCTCTCTCTCTCTCTCTCTCTCTCTCTCTCTCTCTCTCTCTCTCTCTCTTTCTTCTTCTTCTTCTTCTTCTTCTTCTTCTTCTTCTTCTTTTTTTTGATTTTACAAATTTTTATTTTGTGGGTGTTGGGCAACATGCAGTGTTCCCGGAGCACAACAGAGGGCATAGAATCTCCTGGAACAGGAGTTATAGTGGCTGTGAGTCACCATGTTGATTACTGAACTCCAACCACTAATCTGAAGTTTTCAAATGTAAACATTTTTATGACATATTAAAGCACAGCTACTACATTTACCCATAATTCTTTTCTTTATAATGGTTTCATGGTTAGAATGATTAAGATAAATAATTACTAGACTAAGAAAGAAGCACATTATATGACAATTATTCTGATAACCCTAGCTTGGAGTAGGGAAAGCAGCCAGCCATACACTTGTGCTGCAGAGTGCAATGGAGTTTCAGATGGAATCCAGCTAAATATTGATGAACAGACAGTGATGCTCAACCAAAAAGCAAGGTTCCAGGGAGCCAATAGCTAATTGGATTAGATTTCCTTGAGCATCTTCAGTTACTTGACATATTCTACTGGGCCTTTAACACTTTTCATATAACTGTAATATATGAGTTATCTTTGTACTATTTGTTAACCATAAAGGATGCAGTTAATCTTAACATCGCAATAGTATGGTAGAAGCACTAGCAAAACACCTAGGAAACAATTTCTTCATTTGCAAAGCCAAAATTTGTATTTGTATTAAACAAAAACAATGACTTTACAGAGCAAACATATAAACAATACTTGTAAAATTGAAATGACAGAAAATTGTTTAAATGTCAAAAGTGTTGGAGGCAATACAGAAAAACCACAGTTTATGAAAAGAAGCAAGAATGTCAGAATTAGTAATTTGAAGTGTTACATTCAAACTGCGGACTGACAAGAATCTGGGCCACAATACTGATCAGGTTTGTATTCGAAAATGTGTCTTATCTCTTTAGCTGCTTGATACTGGATAACTAGACTCACAAAGACCTGCTCTGTCATCCACACAATCGGAAAATTGCACTCAAAATGTGAGGTTATTATAGATTTTTTTTTTATTTTTTTGTTTTTGTTTTTTCCGAGACAGGGTTTTTCTGTGTAGTCCTGGCTGTCCTGGAACTCACTCGGTAGACCAGGCTGGCCTCGAACTCAGAAATCAGCCTGCCTCTGCCTCCCAAGTGCTGGGATTAAAGGCATGCGCCACCACTGCCTAGCTGAAGTTATTATAGATTATATGATGGTTAAAACAGAATGTTACTATAGAACTTAGATTAAAGCAGGTATAACTGTTTTGCTAATACTTATATAGTAATTTTATTTTAATAGTAATTTTTAAAAGTAGTTCAGAAAACTCACTTTCCCCAAAATGTTTTAAACTAAGCAGAGTGAATAGAAATCAGGAATCAAAGAAGTACAACTTCTTAGTTACTTAAATGAATGTGAGTTAGATTTCATTATGTATGGTAAAATCTCACAGTACCTCTGCAAGTGATACCATCTCCGTAATACCCAAAGGGGCAGCGTCCACACTTGAAGTGACCACCTATGGTTGGCACACAGGAAACACCCAGGAAACAAGATGATTCTCTGCAGTTTGATACTTTTGTTGATCTAAACTTTTCTGGCCAAATAGTGATCGCTGCTTTAGTAGTCAATGTAAACTCTCTCCCAGAGAAATTTTGGAAAGGTTTGCTAATTTGAGCATTATGCCCTTCTGTTTCTGTTGGAATAGTGCTCTGGAAAGGATCTACCTGGCCTAACGAACTGTTAGGATTGATGCTTAAAAAACTACCATTGTGTGCTGGAACTTCAAGCTCATCAACAGTAAGGTCTGAACTGAGAACATGATCCGTATGCTCATAAGCTGGTGTCTGATGAGAAACACCCTTCTTCATATTATCCATTTGAGTTGTAACTGATTTTATTGACAAGTGAGATGTGCCAATTGAGTTTAAAAACTTGTTAAAAGTTGTCACAGGACTCCGAGTAAAGCGTGAATTCATCATTAAAGGATCCTTTGATGGCGGTTGAGAGCTCAAGTCTAAAGAGCAAAGAAATAAGGAGAAATGTTCATCAGAATGTTTATTAATGTTCTACCCTATCCACATTTGATGTCAATTAACTCATTTATTTATGTGTGGTTCATAACACTTATGACTAAGAACCATCTAGCAATAAAAAAATCATCATAGTGTCCCAGCCTTCAAGGAATGTGTAACATACTTGGATACACTAGATAACACAGAAAATTAACAAATTTGAAAGTTATGAAATATCCACAAATAAGCTTCCCTGAAGTCCACTTTGCTCACTTTTCTGTAGTAAGTACCTGAGCATTCAGAAGATTAGCAAGGAAAAAATGCACTTCGAGTTGCCTTATATAACCCTCAGGTTACCTTTCTAAAAGTAAAAATAACTGAGATACAACTTATTACTTATAGGGAAAACAATTGGGAAGTATTCTGTATTAGACTTGATCCAAGATCATGACTTACTGGGGACATTTTCATCTGTTGGCCTAATATGACTTTTATGTTTTTGGCAGTTTTACCATCCTCTTCTTCAATAATTCTTTTGTCAGATCTCATGAGAACTACAATTTTGTAGTAAAATCATTTAAAAATTCTGTTTCAACTGTAAATCAAGCATATCAGAGTTCAACTAATTCAGACAAAATCTGATGAGTCATAATCTGGGATTCATGAGTCTTTTGGATTTAACTATTGGAAATTTGATCAAAGTTAAGTTTCTTCCCCCACAAATCCTCAGATTTTGAATGAATTATGTGCCTGAAAATTCATCTGTGAAACCTGTGAATCGTAACCATGGCTGTGTTTGGAGGGAGGGCCTTTGTAAAAGGGAATCTGGTTGCACAAGGTGAGAAAGTGCATCTCTTCTGTAAGCAGATAATTTCCTAAAAAGAGGCAGGGGCACCTGGAAAGCGCACACAGAAGAAAGGCCTGTAGGAACTATTGTCTGATGGGCAAGAAGACAATATTCCTGAAGACAGCTAAACTACACCCTTGTTTTTGAATTTCCACACTCTAGAATTAGGAAAAAAATGATATTTCCAATGTTTTTCTGTAATATAAGATTTAAGATTGAAGAGATAATGAAAGAAAAGAAAACACAATTCTTATCTTTCCACAATTACTTTAGTCTTATGGAAAGCGAGTAGGAGGTTTCGTAGGCTTTCTTACTTGTTGCTTCAACATATAAGCCCACCATGGTATAAAGATTGGGTGATTGGTAAATATCTCATAAAAAGAGGATCTTTATTGACTTAACTCTAACACATATATAGTTCTTTAATGTTGTCTTCTGGAAATCATTTTAAAAATATCGACATTCTTCAGTATCTTGTGTCTCCCTTCCTCTAAAATTTCTCTCCTTGGATAATATCCATAAGAGTTCATCTTTCACTCAGTCCTCTCTCTTGACCTTCATATAGATAGTCTTCTCAGTCCCCCCTTCTCTCTTTCTACTCAATTCATTCATCCTTTCAGGTCCTCCATTATCCTTCCTGGTAGGAATGATGCCTTTTGTGTGCCCCTCATTCAAAATATACAAAACATGTTTTGTGGCACCATGGAGTTACTAGTCCCATCTCTTGCTAACACATGCTAATTAAATGTGAAGACATATGAGATACACTTCTGTGTCCTATGCATCTAGTTCTACATGTAGCATGATGCATACACACTGAAAAAGCATGTGAGTAGAAGAAAATGCTGTTAAGTGACCTGAATTAGATAAACACAGCACAAAACACAGCAGCAAGCAGGGGCTATTACCATGACACGTGTTCCCATCACCGTGAAACCCTTCTGGACATGGACCACAATGATAGGAACCAAAGACATTGATGCACTCCACACCCGGGAAACAAGGCCAAGATTCACACTCATCTACATCCTTCTCACAGTTCTTGCCTATAGGAGAGAGACCAATGGCCCAAATTATTTAATGTCTAACATCCCATTGTTTGCTTACTTATACTTTCCTGGTGCTAGTTATGGAGCTAGGTTAAACCAAAATGTGTCATCCTGCTGCCTCTTGAGTTCTGGGATTACAAGCATGTACCTGCCTGGCAGGTTCTCCTGCTCCTTTATTTAGCACCTCTACTGAGGAAATATATTTACTATTTATTTAAAATCTACTATATAATCAAATATGAAATCATTCAGACTTCGTTTAATAATAAACGCAACTCTTCACACATGTAAATCTATTTTTTTCTATAAATATGGTGAGTAGTCTGATCACTAGGGAAGGTGAGATAGGAAGATTTTGAGTTGGTCAGGATAAGTAACACAACAAGATACGTCTCAAGAAACAAGTCAATTAATATATGAGGTAAGAATTACAGTATATGATGCATAATCATAAAATATAATTATAAAATTTGTACTTTAAAAACTTGAATGTTTTGAATGGTTGTTTAGAATGTTTCTCACTAATGTTAAGAATGATTTATTCAGTCAAAGTACTGGACTCTGAAATTTTTAATTTTACGTGTTAGAAATGTCAAAAATTTCCCCAATAAGATGCTTTGATATGCTTAGATCTTATTTGAATGAATAGACTCATGTTATGAATAGAAAAGAGTCCTTGTTATACATATATTTTTGGGGAAATTAATATTTGAATAATTTCAAATGTAGTCCATAACACAAAGTCAATGAGATATCTATATTCATCCTACAGATATCTATATTCATATGTCTAAGTGACAATTCTAAAATAATAAAAAGGTTAAATACAAGGAAAATTTTTTTTGCTCATCTATGTTAAACTGACTTATTTCAGAAAAGTCAGCTCAATGACTGTATATTAATCTAATATTACACCTATATACCCTAAAAGCATACATGACTTTCAAGCCTTTGATAAATTAAAGGCTTGTTATTATCATATGCTCATATTTGGAATCAGATATTTTAAGACAATTAATGAATTAGTGACTATACTTGCATTTCATTTGTCCCCAACTGTGATTTAACCAATGATGTCTTTAAGTTAGTAAATTACTAATGAAGCACTTCTTATGTGATAACATTTTTATTCTCCAAAACATTTTTTATTGTTCCACATTATATTTCTTTTAAAGATATTTTTAGGTAAATGTTTCTCTCTCTCTTTTTTTTTAAACAAAATACAATACAAAAAGATCAAACAAAAACCATTACATGGAAGTTGGCCAATGCAAACCAGCAGTAGTAAATGAATCCCAAGAGAAGGTACAGGATTCTGAGTCCCATTCATCCATACATTCAGGCTTCCCATAAAATACTGCACTGGAAGCTAAAATACATGCCCAAAGGACCTGGTGCAGTCCCATGTAGGCCCTGAGCTTCCTGATTTAGTTTTTGTAAGTTCACACAAGCTTTGCTTAGTTGATTTAGAGAGCCTTGTTCTCCTGGTATCCTCCATCCTCTCTGACAACGACGCTCCTTCTGCCTCCTCTTCCATGGGGTTCCCTGATCTATGTTTCACTATCAATATACTAAAATGTACTTTTACTTGCCAAAAAGATGTAGAAATGCCTATAAACATTCAATTGAGTTTCCTAGATTGCTGTCAGAATCATAAAATGGACAAAATCGCAAGTATAAAAGCAAAAGTACAGAAACATTTGAAAAATTATCAGAGGATATATGCGGTGTTTATATCTATGTTACTTTTTGCCAGACTTTTTAAAATATGGTTTAAAATCTTAAAAACATAGATTTGCATGGTTTATTAAAAGAATATTCCAAGGAAATTTTCTGTCTAATTCATTCACATTCTCTTTTAGTTCATGAGGAACCCAAACTGACCTGTGAGCTCAGAAGGACAGTCACAGGAGTAACTATGCAAGCCATTAATGCATCTGCCAAGGCCACAAGGTTTTGACTGGCATTCACTGGCTTCAGCCTCGCAATGATCACCATAAAAACCAGGCAAGCAGTCACAAAGGTAGGCTCCAGTTCCTGGAGGGATTTTTTTATCAGGCACACATGACCCACCGTTTAAGCAGTCACAAGACTTCACAGTCACCTACAAAAGAAAAGTACTGAATGTGTTAGTTGGAATAAAAAAACTATGTTTAGTTGTCACTCCATGAAATCAGTATAGGCACGAGGGCTTATGGACATGGACAATCAAGTCATATTTCTCTGAAAAATTCTTGTTTAAAAAATTATGTCCCCTCTCAAGATCAAAGCTAAAATATAGGTACTACATGGAATACTTTTTAAAAAAATGTTCTCAGTAGAACAATTTGTTTTTATTTTATAATTTTTTAAATAGATTGAATAATAGTTCAGGGTGGCCTTGAACTTATATTCCTTCTTCCTCATCTTCCCAAGGACATATTTTTTAGGTAAGTATCACCATACCCCCTGGATAGAATCATCAGTTTCTAAATGCAAACAGAACATTAGTAAACAAAATCAGTAATGTGGAAGGCAGTCAGCCACCCATGTTATTGCAGTTTAAGAGCAGGCAATAACTTCAATTGCTACGTTAATGTGGTCAAACACAGTTACCTTTCATCGCATGTGTCTTGGTGAAAATGTACACACGAAACTTCAAACACATCACAAGGAGTTTATAAGAATTTAAGCCCTGTGACAGACAGGCTACATATATCAATAAAGGAAAAATGACCAGTTATTTCTTTCATGTCTTCTCTCTGTATTTGTGGATTCTAATTCAACATTCAAGACTCTCATTTGAAGGAAAAAGATATCGATCTTATTTTAGTCAGGACTTCCTTAGAAATGGAGATGAGTGAGATACTTATCCTTGTCTGCAAGTACCGAGCATGATGTCAGCTATCAATTTAGACCCACGCTTCAGGGCTTATTAAGAGTGTCCCTAAGGTGCTATGCTATTACAAGCAACATTTAAAACAAACACGCAAAGTTTAATGTCTCCAATGCTCTTTGACATTAAGACTGTGTCTTGTGCTGGGATTTAAAATAAAGTAGCTGTATTTGTAAAAGATCCAGTGACATTTATGTAATTATAACTATGACCTCCACTGTGACTGTAGCTTCAGCCTCACATTCATCCTTAAGATGGACAGTGAATCTCTGAGGAGTCTGTGACTCTGTTTTCCATGTTAGAAGTCCTTCAGAGGAAACACTTGCTCCATCAGGACCAGAATCCAGTGTAAAATGTATCTCAGAGCCTTCTGGATCCCAGGCTATGAACTGGTATTCAAACTCTTCACCATAAAATGCCTGTAATTTGTTTTGCAGTGCTTGAATCACAGGGGGTTGGTTATCTGTAACAGAGAAAGCATTTAACCTTGTACCTTCATAGAAAAGGAAAGAAGCATAACCCCAATAGTTCCCACAGGGACAAATGACTAGTAAGGACTTAATTCTGCTTAAAGTTCTATTAGCTGCTATTTTCTCTTCTTTCATGAATGACATTCCATTCTGTGTAAATGTAAAAGTAACTGTCAGGTTCAGGGTGAGTTTTGTGAGGCAAGTTTATAAACACTTTGGACACTGCATAGTATATGCAGACAGTTTGTACTCTATAGGTTGGAGGCATTCCTCTTTGGTCTTAAATAACTTTGTGTTGACCATTCCACTGCTTGGGCATCCTGGGTGTCTTAGATCCTGTTACTCTATCTGTGTGTGCTTTCTTAGCCTCACTTTCCCCCCTCTGCACCTCCCATTACTTTCTATGATTACACTCCTCATTCAAATCCTAACATTTCTTCACTCTGCCTACTTCCCCATTTATAACACTTGGGAGTGAACAGTCAGACCAAACTCCTCTGAGCTCTTTCCGGTGTCCAAGCTCACACATCCCATAATGAAGCTGTGTCAAGAATAGTTAATGTTTTTTTTATATCCAGAATACATTCTAAAATATACTTTATACTGTTTTATATTTTAATATATTTACTTTCCTAGTTTGCTAGCTAAACATAGATAAGACATCAACTATACTATGGCGTTGAGACTACAAGGACATTATGTTTACACATGATGCACTAGTGTCAACAAGACCCCAGGTCTAGCTCACGATCTGTCCCTGTATAATTTTGAAAGCTGCTTCATTATTTATTTTTTTTATTTATTTTCTTTCCTTTATCCTTCACATAAGACCTATTTTATAAGAGTGCTTATACCACTGAACATGATAGATATTCACAAATCAGTCATACCATAGCCATTAAAAGAAAGACTCAGCAGATGGTGGTGACACACACCTTTAATCCTAGCATTCATTTGGCAGAAGCAGGCAGATCTCTGAATTAAAGTCTGTTCGACAGAGTGAATTCTAGGCTACATAGGGAAACCCTGTCTCAAAGAATGAAAGAAAGGAAAAAAGAAAAAAGAAAAAAAGAAAGAAAAGAAAGAAAGGAAGGAAGGAAGGAAGGAAAGAAGGAAGGAAGGAAGGAAGGAAGAGAGAGAGAGAAACAAACAAACAAACAAGAAAGACTCCAACTTGGAAAGTAGTCTCGATTTTCTTTATCACTCTCGCTATTTTCCCTTAAATTTTCATTGGGTTTGGTTAATGTTCTGTAAATCTTGATACTAGGCAGTAAATACTAAAAAAAAATCTAAGAAAATAATGGAATTTGCATAAATAATAACATGTAAATATAAAGTTATATTAATGATAGATAACGTTATATAGGTTCCAAGAGTCATGTCTTTACAGATTTATTTATTTTTTTATTTATATAACTACACACTGCAGCTATCTTCAGACACACACTAGAAGAGTGCATCGAATCGCATTACAGATGGTTGTGAGCCATCATGTGGTTGCTGGGAATTGAACTCAGGACCTCTGGCAGAACAGTCAGTGCTCTTAACCACTGAGCCATCTCTCCAGCCCTTTATTTATTTATTTATTTATTTATTTATTTATTTATTTATTTATTTATTTATTTTGAGACAGGGTTTCTCTATATAGCCCTGACTGTCCTGGAACTCACTCAGTGTACCAGGCTGGCCTTGAACTCCGAAATCCACCTGCCTCTGCCTCTGCCTCCCGAGTGCTGGGATTAAAGGCGTGTGCCACCACTGCCTGGCCCATGTATCTAATAACACCTGATCACACAGGAGGAAAGACCTCAGATGTACACATGAAATTACTGTAGGCTTGGGAAAGTGAAGACGTTATGTCACGTGACCACTATTTGTGGTACGTTTTGGACAGAAGAGTGGATCCTGAATTTATCTGTACACATATTTAAAGAATCACAGAAGAAGGGTATTGAAAGGCACTTTATAGAGTACTGAGTCTAAATATCTTAAATATCAAATGATCCATGTCTATTGGAGCTGAACTAGCTCAATTTTTCCCATAAAACAGAACAAAATAAAGTTAAATATAGGAAATTGTGTATATCTGAATTACAGATTTCCATTTCATTCTTCTATGAATTATTCAAATATTATTTCTTTATTAAATATTAAAATACATATCTTATAGCCGATTACAGTATGGTGATATAGAGTATATATAGTACTGTATCACGTAATATTAGAGTATGTTCTAAGAGATACATAATTAATCAGTTTTATCATTGTATCACCATGGATGGTATAATCACAAATTAAGAGAGCTATGAAATCACTTGATGTAAACACATATGAAGCCTATTATTAGCTAAAGTGTTATTTGGTGTTTAAGACCACATATAAAAACACACTTCTGTCTCTTGATTTCTTAAAGAAAAGGAATTTATGAAGTAATGAGAGATTCTAAATTAAATACACTGTTCATCTAACTGAAATACATTAATATCAATTATGGCTTAAAATCACTTTAAGACTTTTGTATAAGAAATAATTGAATTAATAAAAAAGAACTTACCATCTAAAAACGACCAAGTAGAATTTGAAGTTTGGGGTCTACAAATCAAACAAGAGCTGGTAGGGTTTTTATACCCATCAGTATAGCAGCGATCATCAATAATGCAAACATTATCCTAGTGGAATTAAAAAAAATCAATAAGATATCATATGCTTAATACATAGAAACTAGAAACAGAAAGACAGCCGCACATATATTTATTTGTATTTGGAAATAGTTATCATAAATTCAACACAAGTACCTTTGAAAACATATTATTCATAGAATTAAAAAGCAATAAAACTGATGAATTTGGAAGAATAAGAAAATGGAGAGAAGCCATGATATACTACAACATAGCTTATGAGTAACAGGAAACACAGTCCCAATGACAGCTCCACCTGGAAGTGCTTTATTAATAAAAATGGCCATTTTCCTGTACAGTTGAAAGAATGATGTCAATTTATAGCTGACTTCTGCTTCACTTTGTAGCCTACTCTGTCCTTTAAATTCTACCACCAGCCCAGCCTCACGGCTTAATCACTTCACCTCATAATATATAGTTACAAGGCTCCTGTGAAGGCAATGCTGCCACATGGAGAAAGCATTGGAGTGCAATCATCCCTTAACTTCTTCAAAAGATTCACATTTATTTACCATTTCTGCTCAGGAGTTGCTCAAAAACTCCTTTGCTAGCACTTAGAGTGCTCTACGAAGTAGAACAAGTAGCCTGAGAGGACAAGACAGCTTTGAAAGACATCATTGAAAGTATTTTTAAATAGGCAGAGACAAAATATTCCAGATAAAATAAAACCCAAACAAGTTTGCAACAACTAACATTACTTCTTGACATATTCTGAATGCTTATCTCAAGAAGAAAAGTATACACAATGTTTTCTTATGTGTGTACACTAGTTTTATGTTCTTTTGTTTGAAGAGTTGGCTGATATTAGGTCCACGGTGTCTGTCAAGTCATTAGTTTCCATATAGGAAGCCTTCTAGAGAACCAAAGAAAAAATAAAACCAGAAAACAGACAAACAAAAACAATAAAAGCATTAGATACATATTATAAACCCTTTTTGAATACAAATCATTTGGTACAAAAAGAACTAGTTAACCACAAAGACAAATTTTACTGAAAATATATGTATGTAGCACTACATGAGTGAATAATTAAATGAGAAATTCCTTTTCTGATTCTTTTGGGAGGAGTACAGAGAAGAGGAGCAGGGTCTCATGTAGCCCAGGCTGTTCTCCAGGATGGGATGACTTCATACTTCTGGTCCTCCTGCCTCCATCTCTTAAATGCTAGAACTATATATGTTTGCTACTTTACAACATACATTAACATACATTTCACAGTTTTAGGGAGAAACATTTTGCCACTTTAAGATATTAAAAGAAGAAACACCATCCTTGTTCAATCAACAAGAGTTACAGGAAGTTCATTAATTTTAACTAGACTAACATCCATGTCATTCCAGCATTAGTTTGGGAAAAGCACAAAATGATACAAAAGATATGTGGATATATGTATTGTATTCTATGAGAACATAAAAATACATACCTTCATAGTACATGAATCATTTTCATAGGGACCACAAACTTGACAAGCACCATCATATATGATCATTATCTTGGGATTACTGAATGTATAACCATCATTAGATACCTATGAGATATAGTTTTACAGTAAGATTTTTTTCTAAATGTCTAATCAATTCACTATGAAATTTTATTTATGCATAGGATGATATCTTTCATTTGTTACCTTTACTTGCAACTTTGCCAAGGGTTTCTCTGCTGTTAGATCCATGGTATCAGAATACTGGCCATCTGGGAAGAGCTGACAGTCAACCTCTTTGCTATTTTGAAAGCTTGCCTGTGTGTAGATAGTTGCTCCAAGCACCCACTTACTGCCATTATACTGAAGGAGTAATGAAAAGTCAATTGACTGCTTCTAAATTGTGGAAGTACTTTTGTACATTTTATAGTTGCTAAATTATATATGGTCAATGTAGAAATTTTAAAATATATACTGCATACAATCAGATATATAATTAGAAAAACACATTGAAAATAAGTTTTATTCAAAATAATAGAAAAGTATACACTATAGTTTGATAATTAAAAAACAAAATCAACCCTTCCCCCAAAGCATACATTATTGACATTATGTCATTATTTGGATTGGTTCAATCCAAAAAAGTTGCCAAGGTTGGTCATATATACTCACTTACCACAGAATGTATTTCAGTGCAAGAGGAAAGCAATGGATTGTCACATGGTAAATGGGTTTTCTATGTAACAGCTTCTTCCCCCCAAATTTCCACTTTCATCTCCCTGGAAAACCTTTCCAGTATGTTGGCAGCCACTCGGCTTTCACGCTGCCATCTGACCCTTGACTGGTCCAGAAAAATAACTAAGACGGCTCAGTGCTTTGACTATTTGAACATTTTTAACTGTATGGCAGAGGAATTAGGGTCGGGCTACCCATAATGGATTACATTTCAAAACATAAAACTAGAGAGTGGTGAGTATAGGAGGAGCTAAGATGGGAGGAGTTAGCAGAGGGAGAGGAAGGGGAGGAGTAAGGAAAAGAAGAGAAAAAAGGAAGAGGAGGAGCTAGAGAGGAGAACGAGAGATGTAGGAGCAATGGAGGCGGTTGTTCACGTGTCTGTAGCAGCCAAAGGTAGTTGGTATATCTAGATTGGATATTAGGTTACACTTCTGATTGTTTGGGTATCTTGTTACCCATCATTACCAAATATATAAGCTTTTGATTAATCTATAAGAATTAGAGTCTCATTTTCTTACTGGGCCCGCATGGATGGCAGAATGGTCAGGGCAGTGCCCTGCCTTGCAGAGACAGCGTAGAAGACTGGCAGAGCCATCTCTCATGCTGGTATCTAGTGGGTGGCAGGGCTGGTTCTAGCTGCCGCACTTACGTGGCCTCAGGCTGAGAAACATGGCGGCTGGACTAGGCAGAGCTGCTGCAGCTTAGATAGTCTTTGAGCCGGAGGCCGATTTTAACAGGTGGGCATGTTTTTTTCAATAAAGTTAAATATAAAATTGAAGTGTACAAAGAATAATAGGACTAAAAACATGTATGGACATGTATAATTGGGCACATACTAAGTTTTCATGGTGTCTAAGTGCCAAGTAAGTAAGAGATTTTCCCCCACCCAACTTCACCTTTTTGATTCTATAAAAAATATACTATCCTCAGTAAAATGTGTCATTTTGCTTAAGCCAGTTTGTGTCATCAGAGTAGAATACTAGCCCGTTTATCCTACTCAGTGCCAATAGAATGTCATGATTAAGCTATACTTTGTATACTACTTAGTAGTGTTGCAAAATGCCTTAGTGTGTGAAAAGAAAAGGGCAGAAAATTTTTCTGAGTACTGACAAATGTATTAAAAACTATAAGGGCATATCGGTTAACATCTGAATTCATATGTATAGTTAAATGTAGAAAAATGCATTTTGATTGCACAATGATTTTCAAAGATAGCATTGGTCATACAACTTGAGCATGCCTCAGCATTGTAGGTTAGAAGGAAAGGGCAAGGACAGAGACATCACTCCAGTTGATGTGGAATAAAGTAGAACTTCATTTTAAAGACTTTTTGATTGACAGCTTGCCATTGTGCAGATATCTATAGTTACAGAGGAGCACTCTGTTATAGCAGGTCTGTCAGTTTCTCTATCTGAGAAGAAGTGACAAAAACAGCATGACAAGATTGTCATGATGGCTATGCTTAAGGCATGTTAGATATTTTCTTTTTCTCTGTGAAATCAGACTGCAGCCAATGACTGGTTCTTTAGATATGAGTTCTAGCCCTCTGAAAAGGTTAACCCAAAGTGACAAATAATTAAGATTCTATGTTCTTTATATTCAACATTTTGTGAGTGTCCATTATATGTTGAGGATATTCATTTTAGTTTAAATATTTTAATTATTGAGAATTTCACACATGTATCCTGTATTAAATCATATCCATCCAATCCCAAGTAGTCAAGCCCTATGCACATATACATACTAGCTACTGGTATTCTGCTGAGGCAAAAAATAACAGAAAATATATGGAGTAGATAATTTTGCTGTGGTAACTGAGATTGAAATAAGATGTAATACAGAGGAAGCCACAAATCAAATATGGTCAAGGAAAGCTTCAGAAGAGGGAGTCATATTTTTTCTTCCTGGGGGGCAAACGGTGTTTCTGTTTGGATGCTAAAAACTGAAACATAGCGAGGGAAATACAACATGGCTGGAGAAAGCAGCATTTGAAAATGAAGGAAGCACAAAACATTATGGTCTATGGTAGAGCAGAATGAAGATGAGAGGCATGTTTAACCACAAAAGGATCTAGGTCAGAAAGAGCCCTACAAAATTATTTTCTGGATTTAATAACTATGGACCAGCAGCTTAAAATCTGGACTTAGAGGAAATAATAAAAGAAATGAGTGGGCAGCTGGGTTTCTAGACCAACACTTCTTTACGAGTATTACTATAATAGTAGAAAAGAGTTGTAAGCTGTGATAGTCTGTTCTTTATAGAATATAGAAGATATGTATGTGTGCCTTTTTACAAAAGATATATAATGAGGATTAGCTAGAAAATAATGATCATAGACATATATGTCAGTATATGGAAAGAATACTATGAAAATAATGGGATAATGGGAACTCATTACTCAGGAGAATAAAAGAGATAAAGGAAGAGGTGGAGGATATAGAAGAGAAGAAATAAACAATTTTCTTTAAATACCTTTCATACCGATCAAATTTTTTAGGATTATGATAATATTCCAGATACTCTAAATAATTTTAATACAAATCGACTAAAAGGTATAGGAAACTCAAAAAGAAACAGAAACATTTCAACTAATTATATTCCAATGAAATACATAACTGCTATGAATAGGAAGTCAAAAATAGTGTATATCACATTGGAAATACCATTTGCTGTTCTATCATTATATCATTTTATAGATTTAATTTTCAAAGGTAGAGGGTAAAGTATCTGTAAATATATGTATACTCAAATAATGACAAAATAGATTTATACATTGGAAATGATGAGAACTGTTTTTTACTTGTGAAGAAAAGAGAAACAAGAAGAGGAGACTAGAGTGAACACTTTGCCATTTTATTAGAATCAGAGACATTGCTATCAATGTGTTGAAGATGGTAGACTAGAAAGATGCTAAGCAAATACATAAAGATGATGAAGATAAATGATAAATGCACAGATCGATACATAGATGATAGAAAGATAATAGATATGTGTGTATGTTTGATCCATTGAGATGTCTTAAAAGCAATAACTAGCCTGTAATAAATAAAGAAACCAGAAGAAAACATCAGCTTAGTGGAAGCTTTGGACAATCAAATCAAGTGAAGGCTTAAGCTTTCAGCAAATCCTAAAAAGACTCGGGTTACATGATTTGAAAATTGTGTAAAACTATGCTTAATAAAGAGTGAGTTAAGAAAGACTTAAAGCCCACATTAGACATGTGTTTATATATATATATATATATATATATATATATATATATATATATATGGAAAAATATATGTAAATTTTTTTAAAAATTAGGCATAGCAGAGGCTGATTCAACTTCAATATAACATAAATATTTACTACATAGGACATCTTGGGATTTGGCAACTAAACATCTTTCTTTTCTTTTACAATTAAGCATAGTATTTAGGGATTTCTAAAATTCTCTGTCAAATGTTTGGAAGGGAGAGAAGTAAATCACAACACATTAGATAGATCTAAAAGTAAGTCCAAGATGTATTTTCCAAGAAAATGCAAATTTGCAAAGTTCTGTTTAATCATTTACTAGAAGCAGGATCTAATATTAACAAATTTGTCATAACCACATACCTTCTCTCTTCTGATACTGAGATCTAAAGTATAACATGATTCAGTGAGCATACTTGTGTATACTTACACAAGGAAAATATTTCCAAAATTATTTCCTGCAGCAAATTCTCAGTACCAGATTCACACTTCACTTCATTGACTTAGAGATAAAGTAAGAATGCAAAAACATCTTTTAAAGATTCAACTTATCCAAATGAGCATCTAAATTAAAAAGCATGTCCTTATACTATTTTTTTTTGCTTGAATAAAGAAAAGGAAGGTGGCATAATTCACAAAATAATATAAATTTAGATGTGCTCTCATTCACGCTGAATGACTTTTCTGCTTTAGTAATCTTGAGAGACGAATAACTGATGGGGGAGGGATGGGCTATTTCAGAGTCAGAGCAGAGGAGGTGTGATCTATGAGTACGGTTTTCCGCGTTTGTGCTTTCGAAGGGCATACTCAGGTGTCTCCATCACCTACACTCCCTGCCAGATTATCTTGGCTGAAAACCATCGCCATTCATTGTGGTTTACAGCTCAAGAAAGATGGATGCCTCTATCTAACAAGCTTGACACTCTTTTAGCTTTTATTAATCATGACTAAAAACCATGGTCCAATACTTCTATAAAAATGACATAAAATACTTAGTAACGATCAAAGGGCAGCTTATCTAGTGAAGCTGTGCGGCCATTTTCCTGTAACTCTCAGTGGGTTGAACCACCTGAGATCATGTTGCTCTCTGATAGACAAAGTTAACCTAAAAAATGGCATAAACTCAATCGTTTTAAACATGGCACCCAAAGCCTGTGTTTACCATACCTCCAGTTTAGTGACTTCACATTTGATGGAAAATGACTCTTTGAAGCCTTGACCGAAAACTTTCACTGTGACGCAGTTCTGCTTCTGAATATCACAGAATCCAGCATTCTCAATTGCAGTAATTTCAGGAGTTATGTCTTTAGAGAAAAAAATTATAATAAACATCACCTGCTTTGTGAATTACAGGAAAATTATTTTTAGTGTCTAAATTAAAAGTATAGTTCCAGTAACATTTCAGAATGTACTCAAAAACATTATTTATAGCAATTAACTAATTAAACATTTAATAATGCTGTGTTTAAATAGGTAATGCTAACCATCCAAACAAAAGCATTGTCATAACTGATAACACTTAAACACACATTTCCCTAATGTTTCAGTAATGTCTGTTATTAATTAAGAGCAGATGTTAACAGATTATACCTAAAATTACATCTTGGTTTTGCCATACCAGTTTGTGGCAAACAGATGGATTACAGGTAAAATATGCTTCTGTAATAAAATAGTTTAATTAACAGTGCAATATTCACATTTCAAAAATCATTTCAGTGTTACAAAATTTTTTTATCAAATGTAAGATATATATCTATATCAATATTGATATCGATATCAATATTGATATAGATATATATCTTTGTATATACACACACATATTGGAGTATAGTTTATACTCCTATGCCAGTTTTGTCTATATGTTTTGTGATCCCATAAGGATAATTGTGAGTGTATTAATCACTGACAGGAAATCTCTCTCTTAGAACTCATAGCTAACTGACTTTCCTATGGCTCTTATTCTGGTTGTGGCCTTGGTGAGCACATCTTACCTGCATCGTTGAGATTTGATTGTTAGAATGGATGTGTCCCTGTGAACAGTATTCCTCTGCTCTAGTCCTGTCAAAGCCTAAGAGAACTTACCAGCCAGTCTGGAGGAAAAATCATAAGCCTCTGATCTTAGGATTTTCAAACTTCTCACAAAAATTTGTGTTAGTGTATTATGTCACGGTTGTAACATGTGTCTATTTACTGATGTATTTGTGTGTAGTGTCATTACACAAGGCATAGGAATAAAACAAATGAAACCTCCGTATAACTTAAATTTTACCACAGAATGACAAAGATTGTTTTAAAAGTGAAAAAGCATAAAATGTAGAAAGATGTGTTTTCAGTTATGTGCAGAAATTTTATATTAATTATGTCATAGGAGATTAAAAAATATGAGGTTCTGTGAGATAAACTACTAGGACTTTTTAAGTTAATACTTAGACAAAAGAGCTCTCAAAAATAGACTTAAAAACAATTTTGAGAAAAGTAGTGTACTTAGTAAAATAACATAAAATAGTGCTTAAAATAAACTGAATATGAGGTCTCGGCAAAAGGCTACTCTGCAGACAGAAGTTCCAGTTGTGTGCAAAGGCTTTGTGCCTGGGTGGCCGGGCATTTCCAATGAATAACAACAGAGATGAAATCAGCTGTGGAAAGGATGGACAGCTGCCAGAAAGAAGCCATCAAGTGATATAATACCAGATGAGCAAGACAGTTTCACAGACTTTAGCTTTGACATTTCAATAAGATGAAACATTTAGAGGCAATCTAATATATCTTTCACTACAGACTTAATAAACCTAAGAACATGTCCATAATCACATGCTATCCCCAATATCAAAGTTTCAGAGCATTTGCATACCATATGAATGACTGCAATCATGGGAACTGTAGCCTGAAAAACATACACAGCCCCAGTGCATACACTGTCCATGTCCACTGCATAAATTGGGACATTTTAACACTTCTAGAATGCCTTCTACTGACTTCCTGTGTTCTATGTTGTGCGTTCCTTCTTCTAAAATACGTCTCTCGCATTCATTTTCTAACAAGGCCACTCCTGCCTCTGCCCAGCTCACGTCGTCCTTTCGCAGAACATCCTTCACACACATGTCCATAACATGGTTTAGTGTCCTTCCAAGAAAGGGAAGACAGAGCCTTCCAATGCTCGAGTTGGCTAGAGTCTGCTGACAGATTGCCAAGACGCTGACTTCATTGAGGCCGGATGCTGTGGGCCACGAGGGGACAAACTCTTGTTTGCTGTCCTCAGTGTGGTCCCCAGGGAAAAAATAAGAAAACTCTGCCAGGTTGCCTTGTCCAAGACTCTGGAAAGTAAATACGGGACGAAAGTCCTTCAGATTTTGTTGTTTCCATCTCTTTTGTAGATTCCTCATTTCCTGGTCCTGTGTATGCCTCCCATTACTCGAATTCGTAGGAGGATTTTGTGTCTTGTTCCCAGAATGCTGTAAATTTAAGTCCAGTTTGGGTAGGTTTGGGTGAGCATTTTCATGTAGTAAGAAGTTCAAATTATTTTCTTCCCTAGGTACATGAGGGTTTATTTTTCCAACAAGAGCTTCCGAATTGATATATTCAGAGGTAATATCTAGGTCTGGTATCAAAGAAGAGAATTGGATGTGCTTGATATCTTTACAGCTGGGAGCGATTTCCAAGTGAGATTTGCTGTCCAGATGGTGAGAAAGCAGATGGTGCATGGTGGTACCCAACCAGCAGCTGCAGTAGGATGGTTTTGCAGGAAACCGTGGGGAAGCTGGTATTTTGTCAAACATGCTTCTTCCTGGTAAAAGCCTTCCAGATGAAAGATAGGATGATTATTTGAACAAGAACATTTTTTTCCACTAATCTATTGTGAAATGGCAGAGCGTTGAATACCCATTTCTTAAGCCTCATATTAACACAAAAACAACTGAATAATAGCTTAATTCTCACCTCCATTCATTGATAAAAGCAATATAACTGTTGACATCATGATCAATTTTGGTCCCGTTCTTGTCATGGAAATCATTTTCTGGGTTTTCATCGAAGGTGCCACAAAGCCCCAGTGTGCTTCTGTAGTCTAAACTAGAGATTCTGAGTGTTATACTCATACCCCACTCACTGAGGTCAGCACGGATGAACGCTCCAGAGGAAAACCAAATCTGAAAGCAGAGAAGCCCAACACTGAGAAACAAGATGCTGAATTCATTGGGTTGAGAAAAGAATGCCATATAAGATATAAGAAAGTTATTTTTCTATGCATACAAAGAATGAAATATTTACTTTTTGCATGAAAACTTTCATTTAAAATTACATTTCAAAGAAATCCCTTTTCACATTATGCTGATTTGAAATTTGGTCATGATTTTAAATCTTTTCATTTTAATTTTATGTGCATGGATGTTTAGCCAGCATGTATGTCTGTTCACCATTTGTGTACTTGGTACCTGCAGAGGCCAAAACAGGGAGTCAGATCCTCTTAGATTGTTATAGATAGTCATGACCTACCACGTGGATGTTGGGAATTGAACCTCTGTAATAGAAGCCAGTCGTCTTAACTGTCTGTAGACCCTATTATTTCAACTATTTACTGAAACAAATGGTTCTTGCCTTCTTTAATAATTAAAATTTTGTATTTTATAAGATTGAAGCAGTTAAAACTAGTAATGGCAATGTTAACAAAGTCACATTCTGATTGTAGTAATACAGTATCGAATTGTACTGCCGAGTCATTAATTGACACCAATAAACATAATCTGAGAGGAATACAAGTCCTTGAAGCTAATCACTATATTTTTATTACCAGTAGGCAAATAGAATCAATAGCCAAGTTATTTTAGTTGCTTGGGAAAGTGGCAAACAGAGCAAGCAGAAGTTACATGACCTTAATGGCCTGTGCCATCTGACAATGAGCCACTCACTGCCCCCGGTCCCAATAATGTCCTGAAGCCAATCATCTGGAAGTATAACGGAAAAAAAAAGACTTTTCCTAAAAGCACCAAAGACACATCACCAGTGTTTGTTTTCAGTTTAAATATAATCCTTCTTGTCTCCTTATTTTAAAAAAAAATGGTGAGTACTCATTATGGGGATTTCTTTTCATGTTTAAAAACTTTACATTTCTAGTCATTAAGCTAGTTAAAATTATTCCAAAGTCTGCAATTTGTGAGTATCTCTGCCTAGCAACCAACAAACGCCCACTCATTTTCTTGACCATAATGTCTTCTATTATGTGTCTAATTTTATTTAGCTTTTATTAAACTCTCCTATGGTGACTTACAACTTCCCCCCTTACAGGGAAAGATGTGATGGACATCACTGGTGTTGCCCACATCCTTAATTATTTCATTAGAATAAACTTCCAGTTAAAACTTTTGCTGAAGTGACATATAGAATCCCCTAGAAAGATTATTTTTTTCCATTATTTTTATTTTTGCCAATATTATATGAAAGGTATTGCTTTTTATTTATTTGATTAGTGATGATGTATTTCAATGTTTTGTCAATTATTTGTACACGTAGACATAGTTTTCAGTGTTATTCCCCTGTGAATTGTCTTTTTGTTTTTGCTTAATTTTTTGTTTTGACAGAGTATTGTTATGGAACCCAGGCTTGTCTTACGCTCACCATTCTCTTGCCTTGGCTTCTAAAGTGTTGGGATAGCAGTCATGTGGCAAAACACCTTGTGCCATTTGATGTTATTCACATTTGCAGTTGTCTACTAATTCTATAAATAACATATATACATATATATCCAATCTATAAATGTTTTATATATTTATTGTTTTATATAAAGATTTTTCTAATTCATGATTCATATTATGGCTTTGAGTGACAGAATTCAGATAAATAATGTTTTGTTTGTACATTACTATTCAGTAAATGTTATAAAACCAAAACATACTAAAAATTCTTTATTTAAATATTTGAACATATTTACCATGAATTTACTTTTTGAAAGATGAAAAAGTGAACATGACCTTAAGATATAAATATTTTGCTTACTGATATGAAATAATATTTTCAAAAATATTAATAATAAATAAGTTTGTGAAATGTAATTTGGGACCCTTTGCTTAATTTTTAATGTTTTTTCATATTATCTTCCATGCTTCTTCCTGAAGTATTAACAGACTGTATTCACTTAAAACTGCTCAGTTATTCCTGAATATTGATGTTTAATTGTCATTTTACCTAAATACATTCATTAGACATTGTCAAATAATTTTATGAATAATCCACACAACTCTAATATTAAGATGTTTTGAATGAACAATTTAGATGTAAGGATATGTTCCATTTTGAATAATAGGTTAAAATATAAGTTTTTTTGTCTAGTATCTGAGTGAATCTAAAGTGATTTTTTTTCTTTTTTACATTCTCGTACATGCATATAATGTATTTTGATTGTATTTATTCATTATCTTCTAAGTCCTAATTTCTTTAGCAAACTAATATCAAAATATAACAGTGCCTAATTTATGAGGATGAATAGAAGTTCATTCAAAATTATGAAAAGCAAAACTCCTTCAAATGTTAAATTTTTACTTCCGTTCACATACCGTGATTTTTCTTCCTAAATAAGATTCAGTTATTCTGATATTTCTTGATGATGACTCTTGGCTCTTTACAAATAAGTATGGTGGAGATTCATGTAACTGGCCACTGCACATATCAAAAGTAACGATGTCACCTTCTTCTTTTGCAACAAAGCCACAGTTGCATGACACAGGATAGTGAAGGCTCCCACAGTCCCATTGGCGTACATGAATTTCAAAATCACGTGACATACTCTTATAAAGCACAAACGTTCCAGTCTTGAAGTTGTCATATACTCTGGTATGAACAAAAGTCAACTACATTAAGAATAAGGATAAAATATTATAATGATATAACTGTGTTATTACAAAGTTCTTTAATGCATGTATCAGCAGACAATGTATATTACTCTAAGAATAAGGAATTTGCATTTTCAGCACATTTATGGGTCCAAAGATTGATATGTGTCTGTGAATGACCCAAAGTGGCCACAAATACCTTAACTCTTTTCCACATTTCTGTCTGTCTCTTTACCCACCCAGCAGGCTTCACTCTTAAAGGAGAATATGCTTGCTGGGTACACAGGCACTTGGCTGTGTTCATTAGGGAAAGCATTTTCCAACGTGGGTATTACTTACTAGCTTTCAGTAACCAGACTCTTTTAATAAAATCGTCAACTCTAGTTCCTTGTCTTATTTTCTATTTTAATTTTCTTCTACACTGTTTTATTTCTAGTACTACTGTCATTGATGTGAATCGTGTGTCTGTATCTCTTCTCCTATCCAAAGCTCAGCACGAGGGCACAGAAAGTTCTTGACTTCATTCACTGCCTTACCCTCTGCACTTAGAACAAGGCTTGTAACCTGGATATTTTACAAGTAATCTCACTGAAAGAAGACAGATTAAGTACATCACCACTCTGCTTTCTTGAGGACTCCTCACTGAGGAGGCTTCTAAATCTTCAAACCATGAAAGATTTCTGCATAACTGATTAGTCCTGACAACTTTTCAATACTCATCAAAATGTGTGAAGTGCTATTTATAGTGTAGGGTTCTACCACTCAGGAATAATCTTACTGACAGCTATCACACTATGTTTAAAATACCTGTCAGGTATCATGAAGAAAGTTTTTACTAGACAATGAGTTGTCTAGACAATGAGTTGTCTCTCTTCTTAAGGATGTCTCAGCATGACAAGGCCCCCAGAACAGCACCACTAAGATTAACTGTTCCTATGCAGACAGCAAAATCAATATCATTTTGATATCCCTTTCATTATGTTGAATATTTTACTTAAACTCCAGAAATAATTATAAAGGATTTCATGATAGGAAAAAAATCAACTTTGCAAACTGGCATTCTCATCATTAATTAAAGTTAATTAGTATTAAAATAAATTTAATGAATTAGCTTAATCATTTTACATAAACCTCATATATTATTTTGTAAACTTACAAACATATAACGCAGTAAACACTCTTAGTTAAAATAAATGGCTTAATATAAAAATAAGTAGGTGGCCAAGCACAAATAATTATGTGCATTTGTAATACTCTTCAATACATCTTCACTTGTAATAACTCAAAAATTCAGGTCCACTAGTTGTCTGCATTAGGTACTAAGGACTGGAATTAAGGCAAAAATATTCGACACAAATACACTAATGTTTAGAAATAAACCAGTAAAAGTGCAAACATTGAAAAAATAAGGAAATGATAAAAGAGTGTAATGTTTAAAACAAAACATGGCAAAAAACAAAGAAAACAAAAGCCACCGAAAGAAGAAAAGATCAGGACATCACCTGCCATCAAAGGTAATTATGTGTGGGTCAGTAAATGAATAACAGTAAGCAGATGGGACATCCTTGACTTTGATCTGCAAAAGAAGCATAGATTTAAAGGTTGACATTGATTGCTGGCTAGTAAATTATTTACTACAATTATTAATTATTAGTTAATTAGTAATTAGTTAATTATTAATTATTAGTAAATTATTTACAATTGAAATTAATATTCAGAAAAGTCTTATTTTACAGTTACTGAAATGGAATTGTTTAAAATAAAAAAATGAAGTAATTTTTAAAATGATTTATTTCTATAATGCATCGGTATGTGTTTATATGCCAAGTGTGAGCAGGTGACCACAAAGACCAGAGAGAACGTCAGATCTCCTAGAGCAGAAGTTATAGGCAGTTGTTAGCTGCCTCAGATGGCACTAGGAACCAAACTTGAGTCCTCTAGAAGACCGGAAAGTAAGCTTAGCCTTTTAACAATCTCTCCAATTAATTTATAAATAAATAATATTGTTGGCACAAGTGCATCTTTTAAATCTTAAGTTATAAAGTTTATTTTCCTGATTAGTCAACCTGGATGCTGTCTGGAGTGTATCTGTCCCACAGAAAAACATCATTAACGATAGGCTCCACGATGATGTCTGTCAGTCTGTCTCCATCCTGGGAAAAGTCTGTCACAGCAGTGTAGTATACTACAGCCTGGCTACATATTCCATCAACACAAGAGTCCTGGTGAAGTTCCACATGGCAGGAAGACAATGCCAAATTTAAACCGAGGTGTTCTTTACCTACTTAGGAAGAAAAAAAAATCATTTAAAAAGTTTTTTTTTTTAAGATACATACAAATCAAATGTAGTTACTTGATCAATACGAAACAGACTAAAATGTTATTATTAAATACTTTTCTTTAAGTTACTGTAATGCTTGTTTAAATTAAAATAAAGCTACTAAATCTACTTTACAGATAAATATTAATTTTAAATATGTATACATACATACAAACATACTACTATTTTCAATAAAGTTAAAAATACATATTCATTTAGATAGACTTAAAAAGCAATAAATAAAAGGTAGGAGAAGGTAATGAATATTTTAGTAGAATAGGCTCATCAACAAAGATGTATACATGCTATTAAGCATAAATTTTGACATCCATTAAGAAAATGATGTGGGTCTCTGGAATGCGATCATGAGTAATAAACTTATTTCCCCTCATAAGCATCAGAATATATTCAGAACTTCAAAATGTTCTGTTTAAGTAACAAAGAAAAAAGGAAATAATCTAGAAAGGAAACAGAAACAGAAAATAAAACAGAACTTTAAAAAGTGGTATAGTTCATTTGCAAAATTTCTGTTCTTCCCGTAAATGAAAGAACATGCCCCCAGATTGGGCATAAAGTAGCAGGTTTTCAAATTCGATTCAGGACCACAAAGCCTTCCTGAGACTCCAGAAGCAAGAAATTAATTCTAAAGACTGTCTTCTTTACACTCACATGGATTTTACAGGTACAAAATTACAGTAGACACATAAAAGTAACTGTACTGGGTTCAAGGTCCCAGGGAAAATGTTTTCTCTTCCTTCCTTCTTTCCTTCCTTCCTTTCTTCCTTCCTTCCTTCCTTCCTTCCTCCCTCCCTCCCTTCCCCCTCCCTTCCTCCCTTCCTTCCTTCCTTCCTTCCTTCCTTCCTTCCTTCCTCCCTCCCTCCCCCCTTCATCCCTCTCTCTCTCTCTCTCTCTCTCTCTCTCTCTCTTTCTGTCTTTCTTCCTTTCTTCCTTTCTTTCTTTCTTTCTTTCTTTCTTTCTTTCTTTCTTTCTTTCTTTCTTTCTTTCTTTCTTTCTTCCTGTCTTTTTTATTTTAAGATGTGGTTTCTCTGAAGCTAGATCTGTAGGACAGGCTGGACCCAAACTCAAAGATCCATCTGTCTCTGCCTCCCAAACACTGAGATTAAAGGTGTGTGCCATCACTGCCCGGCATATGATTCCCTTTTTATTTTCCTAGAAATACATTTTTCTCACACACATAAAAAATAATGGAAACATCCAATTCCTTAGCTAGCTCCCTGAGGAGAGTATGGAATATGTCTGGTTCAAGTACAGTCTATGACTTCATTTCTCAAGTTTTCAGTATGAAGGCCAAGGTTATTCTCATGAAATCTGTACAACAGCTGTACAGCTTCCGTAAAAGCATACAAACATGTTCTCTGTCACTGTATTCACTGGGTAGAAGAGACGGGAAAGAATATCCTGAATGAAATTAGAAATTTCTCTCTCGAAATACAGAGCAAGTTTTAATTGACAAATCATACAAATATAAGAGCACATTTGTGCTGTTTTTTATTATTAGATTAATAATTGCCTTAAAGAAACCAAGAGTGTGCAAATATATTTGAAAGTATACTTTTAATAAAGAGATATGTTTGCTTAGCATAAGTTAGACAGTTTCTGTAATATGTGTCTCTATACTTCCCAGAAGTAGCTTGAACTGAAATTGTGTCAAAGGTCTGAGCTGTAGTAAAATTCACAAGCTGGATATACACAGGCCTCCAGAAGTCTAAGTGCCCAGGTAGGCATCATCTAAGCACATGTAATTGTCAAGTCCCTTAGCATGACATCTTTGAGTTTCTTCTTATGCCCTTTGATTTATCTTATTTTTTTAACTTTAATCAATTTATTTGCATATATCAGGCAGGAAACTAAACTGGGCCTGTTAATGTTTTCACCTCTCTCATTTAGGTGTTATAAGGCTATCAAGACCTAGATACCCCATGTTTGAGGTTCTACTGGAAATACTTTATTCTGTGAAGAATTTATGATATGCAAACAGAACTATCATTTCTCTTTACACGTTCTGTTTTAATCAGAAAATCTTCTGTTCTGGTGAGAGGAATTTGGAAACTGGGAAAGAGATCAAGCAATCCAACCACAGCTATTCACAATTTGCTCTCTTTGCTGTTCTATCTTGCTCTAGGGAGCAATTTCCCTCTTTATATTTCCTTAGTAGTGGTCTACAAATGGTCATGCATCACGGTATTCACGGGATTAGTCATTTATATGAAGAACATTAAGACAAAATATCCCCCTTGAAGCTTACACTGGGGAGAGAAGTATGAAGAACTCACTATGAGACCCGTGTTTCGTAAGCTTCAACCCTTAGTACATCACAAAAAAAAATATTTTCAGCAAAGGTGATTTGGAAATCTAAAGTTGTCTCTATCTCCAACAACAAGACAAAGGGAAGAAAAGGTATGAGACAAAGGAGAAGGGGAATGATCAACTAGGAAGACGTAAAAGGAAAGGAAAGAGGCCAAATGACAACATAGAGCAGATAGTTCACTAGTATGTTTCAGCAAGGAAAGGAAGAAAAAAACCCATGAATTGCTTTGTCGATCATCGGTTCAACCTTACATCAGGTCATTAATATAATGTACCTATTGTTTGATGTAAGCAAGGAACATATTTTCTTATGTGAGCACATTTCAGAGACTCTATAAAAGAGAACAAGAATCAGTCATTGCCTGCCTTGTAATAAACCAAAATGAACTTAGTGTGTTACCTCGTTCGATGGTTTTCAGTTTTAACGAGATTTTGCATCCTTGATCAAGCTCACTAAATTCAGAGCAAACGATAGGAATTGTACTCTCTATCCTCAGCTGGAATTCCTTTCCATCTTCTGATATAGTGTCCAGTTCAGGTTTTAACTAGCATGAGAAAATACTGCATTTAAGTTCAAATAGAATGTATGTCTAGGAGTTAATTTTGAAGACATGCTATTTTTTTGTTACCCTAATAGACTATCTTTTGCTTAGTAAGCCATTAATAACTTAATCATTCAGTTTTACTTAAGTAAACAAGGTCAATTAATATCGAACCAGTAAAAAATATAAGTTGCTTTGCAGTGATACCCAGAGAGTTCCACTACCAGCCCCACTCTGAGATTAGGCTCAATAGTTCCCCAAATATAGGCTGGATAGGCATGTGACCAAGCTGCTTCATTGATTCTGGAGAATGAAGGATGAGAGATTGTGCCTTTCCTCATGTGTTTGCTGTCGCTTATTGACACAAGTAGAGAGGAACCAAGTGATTTTCAAGGACTTATTATCACCATTGAAATGTATATACTACTTAATATATAAGCCAAAATGTCATCACCTTCACTACTCCGCTCCTCAGCTTGTTCCATCTGCTTTTTAAAATGTTAGGCTTCCTGAGATGTGCTGCTACAACTTGAATCCACTCCAGTCCACAGGGCAGTCATATGTGGAAGCAGGGATCTTTTGTTGTTTTCCCATAGCCTCAAGTCTTAACTGTCTCTCAGAAAACCTGCTTTTTTCTTTTTAATTTAATTTTTTACTTATTCACTTTACATCCTGCTCACTGACCCTTCCCAGTAACCTTCTCCCACAATCCTTCCTCCATTCCCCTCAGCTTCTCTGCTGAATGGGTGGGCCTGCCCTTGGTTATCCTTACCCCTCTATCCCCACCTCCACCTCCCAGTACTTCAAGCCTCTGTGAGGCTAGGCATTTCCTTTCCCACTGAGGCCAGACAAGGCAGCCCAGCTAGAAGAACATATCCCACAGACAGGCAACAGCTTTTGCCAACAGCCCCCATTCCAATTGTTAGGGACCCAGATGAAGACTGTCTAGTACATATGAGCAAGGAGGCCTAGGTCCAAACCATGTATGTTCTTTGGTTGGTGGTTTAGATTCTGAGAGCCCCAAGGGTCCATGTTGGTTGACTCTGTTGGTCTTCCTGTGGACTTTCTATCCCCACTGGGGTAGCAATCCATCCTCCTATTTTTCCATAAGAATCCCCAGGTTCCATTCACTATTTGGCTGTGAGTGTCTGTAGCTTTCTGAATGAGCTATTGGGTCGGGTTTCTAAGAATTACTTCTGAGTGGGATTCCTTTGTTAGTCTAATAAGAAACAGTGGCTGACCACTGACATTGTTTAGCTTTGACCCTACCGACACAGATCCAAAGGTTACTGTGCTCCCAGGGTCAGAGCTCTCCTTGCTCTCCCACTGCTGTCTCTTTTGACAATGTAATTCAGTCTTTTTTACTTACGGTCTGTCCGTGTGTGCATGGAAATTAGCTACACAAAGGTTTGTATCCTGTCTCTAAGTCCTATCCTCACAATTGACCAATCTCCCACATTGTCTTTGAACAAGAAGTGAACCCCATGCAATCTCCAACTCTGTTAATGAGAGCCCCCCCCCCCACTTCCAGCTTCTGCCTTTCTGTATAGCCCATTGCCTTCCACTGTTCTGATTCCCTGACACTGCTTACCTGCTGGAAGAACCCATCATTCTCTAGATCCAGTGTGACCAGCAGTAACCAAAAGGATTGTGTTTAGTTAGCACAATCATGGCAATCCATAGAGCCCAGAACTGTGAGTCCTTTCAGCTTATGTTCCAGGTGCTAGCACTTTGTCTGGTATTTCTCTTCAAACATTTACAATAATCAAATAGTGGCATTCTGATAATATATAATAGAATATCTAGCAGAATGACTTATGAAAATAGGCCTTTTCACTTATTCTAATTTGAGCTTTAGTCTTTCCTTCTCACAAGTCCATGAATTTGATGGCTTGACTCGAGAGGCTTTACCTTATAGTGGTGTATAATTTTACATTCAGTAGGTATTATACTTTGAATTTTTGTTTTTCCCGAGACTGGCAATATTCTGCAACATACTTTCTCATGGTGCAAGGTAATGATAGCCATCTATAGCTCTCAGTAAGGAATGGGTCACAAAGAGTAAACATCTAATATTCCACAGTGTGCTTATTGCTAAGTTGTGATGCCAGACAGAACTTGGTTGCAGTAAATGAATTTTTAACTTGCACTATTTTTCAATTTATGATGAGTGTGCTGGGACACAGTGCCATCATAAGCGAAGGAGCACCCCAAATTCAGCTCTTTCCCATGTGTCTTCCAGCTTTGTTGTACATGAGAATTATTCAGGTTGTTCTTCAAAATGCAAATTTAGTCTAGACTTTCTGATTTGGCCTACGATGAGGCCCAGGAACCATCACACGCAAACTAGAAAATAACCTTTCTAGTTCATACTCAATGCTACGCACCTTAATTCCAGCAAAAAATCCCTGGCTTTCAACAGCTATACTTTGCACATCTGGTTCCTCCAAGTAAAAGACAGCAGCACTGCAGAATATCTATGAATATAGTTAAGAAATAATCATCTGGTAATGACATTATAAAGAAACATGCAAATTATCTTTAAGTCTTTAATTTATTTTTTAGTAAATGATAAAATTAAAAACCAAGAGGTTAGAGTGATGGTCAGCAGTTAAGAGCACTTGATACTCTAGCAGAGAATTCAGGTTCCATTTTTAGTATACACATAGTGGTTCAGAGCTACCCATAATTCCAGATTCAATGTATCCAATACCCTTTCTGAACTTCATGGATATCCAATGAATACATGGTACATGCAATTACAGGAAAAACATACATAAGATAAATTAAATTTAAAAAAGGAATCATACTTGCCTAAAATTTGAGAAAATTTCTATCATAAATTATTAGTGATTTGAACCTCAATATAAAGGATAGTGCATATACACACACTAGAAATTATACACACACATACACACATTCTAGAAATTATACACACACACACTAGAAAGTACAAAAAAGGCATTAGCAGTGAAAAAATTAAGACATTGCTTTCCAATATATAAGAATATAATCTTAAAAACTGAAAGAGACGTATAATATTAAAGATTCATCAAAATTCAGCAGATTGTTAAAAGGAGATACTTAAACATAGTCACAGAACATACATTACTGACATATCTAGCTGTAATGAAAAGCCAAGACTCTACTGCTTTATATGTTGAGGACAAAAGCAGCTTTCAGTGTTTGGTTTCAGTATATTCATGAAAAAAAGGCAAGTTGTTTTTTTGTTTTGTTTTTGTTTTTTTGGTACATACCTCATCTCCAAGTTTGAGATTTATGCCATCAAGCTCTAAAAGCGAGAATGCCTGAAGAGTGCTCTCCTGTCTCAGCTCTTCTTTGATTTCTTGGGAAGAAAGCCTAGACCAGGCTATCAGAAATCCTATGGACTTATTTGTGGGGGAAACATCAAAAGTACACCTACAAAACACCTGGGAGCCCACCAGCTCCACAATGACCTTGGGCATGCCTGGAGGAGGGGGAGGCAGTACTGTGGAGAGCTGGCCTGGAAGGAGAAAGCACAATTGTTAAATCGGGAAGAAGAGAGGGGAGGGGAGGGGGGGAGAGAGAGGGGGAGGGAGGAGAGGGG